CATGCCTACAAGTACTGCTTATTCTCTCCGGGACATTAAAATTCTGTTGTCAGCCATTAAAAGGATGGGACTGGCCAGTGGTTAGGGTTTTCTAGGTGCATCAGAGTGGAGAGACTGTATAACAGTCAAATATGTTTTTTCTGTAAGCGTATTATTTATTTTAAAAGCATCATAAATATTTAACTACATATTCTACAAGTTAAATACAACATATTTAAAAACAAAAAATATGAAGCCAGATAAGAAGAAAATTGCCACTTCAGTGTTGCCAATAATTATTTCACTTATTAATGTTTTTCTGTACTTTAAGAAGGAACCCACTACTTCTTTCCAGAAAGTGCTTTCCGGCGTTAAAAGTCCCAGGTGCTTGCCTGACCACAGTCTTTCAGCATAAGTGCCCTTGATACTTGAGTATTTAAAAAATCCTCATGAGCCCTGGCCAGTTTGGCTCAGCGGTTAGAGCGTCGGCCTGCGGTCTGGAGAGACCCGGGTTCAGTTCCCGCTAAGGGCACGTACTTCGGTTGCAGTTTGTCCCCGGCCCTGGTTGGTCGTGCGGGTGGCAGCCACTCGATGTGTCCCTTTCACGTCGACGTTTCTCTCTCTCTGTCCCTTCCTCTCTCTCCCTCCCACTCTATCTGTACAAAAAATGGAAAAATATCCTCAGGTGAGGATAAAAAATAACTAAATAAAAAAAAAAAATCCTCATGAGCCCTGGCCGGTTTGGCTCAGTGGTTAGAGCATCGGCCTACGGTCCCATGAGACCCGGGTTCGGTTCCGCTAAGGGCGCGTACCTCAGTTGCAGTTTGTCTCCGGCCCTGGTTGGTCGTGTGGGTGGCAGCCACTCGATGTGTTCCTTTCATGTTGATGTTTCTCTCTCTCTCTGTTCCTCTCTCTCCCTGTTCCTTTCTCTCCCTCCCACTCTAGCTGAACAAAGAATGGAAAAATGTCCTTGGGTGAGGATTAAAATAAATAAATAAATAAATACTCATGATACTTTTCAGCACTAACTTTGTTCAGATTATTGATCTTCCATTAATTGATAGCCTCAAGGAATGCCTAAACAACTCTTCTGTACTTCCCCTCATATAACCAAAAGTAACAACTATTAACATATTATTTCTTATTTTTATGTTGAGATCACAAACATAATTTTATATATATTTTTTATACTTTAACCTACTATTATTAGCTTTGGAAATGCTTCCTAATAAAAAAATTTTAATGGTTTCATGATATTCCATCATATGGATGTCACATACCTTGCCTCACATTCCATGGATTAAATCATTACCTGACTTAAAACAACCTGATTTTCAACTCTGATTTCAGGTAGGTACCACTATGCATTTCACATACATGGCATACTGTAGAGGAGATATGCCAGTAAATTGAAGCTATTTTCTTTTACCATGGAAAAGGGCATTAGAGATTGAAGACAGGCCAATATATATTTCTTGGGGATTGAGTCTCACTTTACAATAGCATAATACTTACTTATTTACCATTTATTTCACTTGCTTAGTGTAACACTTTAAAAAATAACATTTGCTTATAACTTTTCTGTTTTAACTTTGTGTATAACTTCTAATTGTGATTTGGCAACCTTAAGATTGAGTTGGCATTTAGGAAAACTTTTTCCTTGGATATCCTTATTTGAGTTGCTTAAGCAATTCCTGTTGCTCTTTAAAGAGAAATGTAGTCAAAATCCTCCGAAAAGAAAACAGGTAGGACTTTATTCTGAGATTGACGTTACTGTTTGCTGATGAAAATGATTCAGGTAGAGATGAATTATGCTGGCCCTTGCCACTCAGGCCTGGTTCTTCTTTGGCACAGGGTGAGCAAGCTGAGAAAGACTGCTATTAATTTATGGTGAATGAAGGAGAATAACTCTGTGTACTTGCAGAAGTGGCTCTGCAAAGAGGTACTTTGAACCTAATACACTTCAAAGGCCTGCCCAGATAAAGGTTACATGTGAATATAGGGTGATACCATCCAAATAATTATTATCAAACAGGTTTAACCTAGGAAAGACTGACCTTTCTAAAATGTGGTTAAAAATGAGGAGGGGTATTTGATTTCTCGTGGTGATCTGCTTACTTGCCTCTAAGACTCAGTATTAATGGATTAATCCAACCACTGAATATGAGCTTCAATTGACTTTAGTATTTCAGCTCTGACAATGATAACTATATAATTAGAAGAAAGGACCCTAAAAAGGTAAAAACACTAAATCAGGCTAGCTATGTAAATCAAATTTTAAAAAAAGAATTATTATTATTGCCCTGGCCAGTGTGGCTTAGTGGTTAGAATGTTGGCCTGTGCATTGAAGGATCATGAGTTTGATTCTCAGTCAAGGGCACGTACGTTGATTGCAGGTTTCTAGGATTTCAGTGCTCTGTATAATTTTGGAATCAAAGCCCTAGGATGATAGGGTACTTGGTGTCTGCTTTAGGATTTATCATGATGTTCTTTGAGAGTTAAGCTTGTAAGATCAATTTAGAACGAATCAGAACACAGATATGCAAAGTAACTGGAAGAACCAAACTGGCTGTCAGGCCTGCAAGACTTGATTGTAACTTGTTGGAATGTAAAAACAGTTTCAACCAGAACAGGTCAGATTAGCTCTGAGGAAGCATAGGAGGTGCAGAGTCACTTAAGTGAAAGTTGGCAGTCAGTTGGCCTCTGTAATGGCAGTTTCTCACAGTCCAGTAATAAATGACATTTCAATGATCACCTCAGTCTGTGTACATTTTACTTATCTTGAGATATCTCTCAGCTTGGTATAGAAATAGAACTGGGAAATTGCCAACAGGTACATAAAAAGGTGTTCCACATCACCAGTCATTAGAGAAATGCAAATCAAAACTACAGTGAGCCCTGGCCAGTGTGGTTCAGTTGGTTGAGTGTCATCCCATGCACCAAGAGGCTGCTGTTTGATACCTGGTCAGGGCACATGCCCAGGTTGCAGGCTCGATCCCCGATAGGGGGTGTGTGGGAAGCAGCCAATCGATGTTTCTTTCTCTCATCAATGTATCTCTCTTTCTCCCTCTCCCTTCCTCTCTCTCTAAAAGCAATAAAAACATTTTTAAAAACCCCACAAGGAGATTTTACCTTACACCTGGCATCAAAATGATAAGAGATAACAAGTGTTGGTGAGGATGTGGAGAAAAGGGGACTCTTGTGCACCATTGGTGAGATTATAAGTTGATGCAGCCACAAAGCAAATTTCTCAAAATATTTAAAATTGAACTAACTATATGATCTAGCAATTCTCTTTCTTGGTATATATCCAAAGGTAACAAAATCACTGTCTCAAAAAGATACCTGCATTAATTTAAAAAAAATCTGCACCCCTGTGTTTATTGAAGTGTTATTTACAATTGCCAAGACACAGAAACAACCTATGTGACCACTGACAGATTAATAGATAAAGTAAATGCGATATTGATACACACATATACAATGGAATATTATTCAACCATAAAGAAGAATATAATACCATTTGCAACAACATGGATGGACCTTGAGGGCATTATGCTAAGTGAAATAAGTCAGACAGAGAAAGACAAATACTATATGACCTCACTTATATGTGAATCTGAAAAACCAAACTTATTGCAACAGAGAACAGATTGTTTATTGCCAGAGGTGGGGGTTGGGAGGTGGGGGAAATGGTTGAAGGTGGTCCAAAGGTACAAACTTTCAGCCATAAGATAAATAAGTTCTGAGGATATAATATACAGCATGGCGACTATAGATGAGGAGTTTGACACCTTATCCAGTTTGATTCAGTGCATCTTACTTTTTTCATTCAATTGCAGTTGGTTTTGAGTTTTTTATGGGGTTTGAAGCTGTGTTGAGAAAATGCTGGGGATTTAGGAGGAACTTTGAAGATCATCTAGGGCCGCGATTTTTAAATTTTTCCACTAAAGTGCTTTTTTAAAATCCTCATCCAAGGATATTTTCCCATTGATTTTTAGAATGAGTGGGAGGGTGGGAGAAAGAGATAAAGAAACATAGATGTGAGAGACATATCAATTGGCTGCCTCTCGCATGATCCCAGCCAGTGCCGGGGATCGAACCGTAACTAAGGTACATGCCCTTGACTGGAATCAAACCCATGACTCTTTGGTCCACGGGCTGATGGTCTAAACACTGAGCCAAACTGGGCAGGGATCCACTAAAATGCTTTAGATAGTCCAGGAGAATAAGTGAATAAGTTGGGGTTATGTCCCAAAATGGCTCAGTGCAAACTGAAAAACATTTTGTCTCAATTTTAGCTTAAAAAAATCACAGGGGAAAAATCATGGACAATTTATTTTCTTGTCCATACTGTTTGTGTATAGGTATGTGTACTTAGTGCTGGAAATATAGTGAATTAAAAGTCATTTTTGCCTGGCTGGTGTGGCTCAGTTGGTTGAGCATTGTCTCATGCACCAAGAAGTCACCAGTTCAATTCCCAATTAGTGCACATGCCCAAGTTGCGGGCTCGGTCCCTGGTAGAGGGTGTGTGAGAGGCAGCCAATCAATGTTTCTTTCTCATCGGTGTTTCAATCTCTCTCTTCCCCTCCCTTCCTCTCCCTCTAAAGTCAATAAAAACATATGTTTAAAAAGTCATTTTTTGTTTGGCAAAATATTTCTGGTTTTGAACGAATGTCCTCATCTCTTTATATGTTGTCCATGTAATGTCATTGTTCAGAAAAGAATCTTGATGGGTCATACTCCTAGAAATACAGGGTTATTGGGTACTTGTGTGAGGATTAAATAATAGTGGATGAAGTTCACCTTGCAAAGCATAATATACCATGTAAATGTGAGGTTTTTTGTTTTGTTTTTTTTTAAATCTAGTGTTTTTTACATCTTCAGTGCTCTCAGAAAAAAGCAGGGGAGAGACTGTTGGGATGTGGGGCAGAAAGTTTCTTGCCTTAGACTTTCCTCGACATGATCAGAATTAGGTATAACAAGTTAACTAACCATTGGTATAATTGATGCTCTTGCAGGAGGGAGCACTGGCAGTTGTTGGGTAATTTGAAGACTACTGTGGAGGGTTTGGTGTCAGCCAACACCCCCAATGTCTGGTCCAAGTATGGTGGCCTGGAACGGCTTTGCAGGGACATGCAGAACATCCTCTATCATGGGCTCATCCGTGACCAGGTATGTAGACCTTTTATTTTAGTGCCAGATTGGGTGAAGTAGTTGTTGGAAAGAAACAGTTGCATTAAGTTGTTGGTAAGGAGAAGCTAATGGCCGATCAGGGCACATGCCCAGGTTGTGGGCCAAATCCCTAGTTGGGGGCATGCTTGAGGCGGCCAATCGGATTTCTCTCTCATCGATGTTTCTATCTCACTCTCTCCCTCTCCAATCCTCTCTGTCTAAAATCAATAAAGAAGCCCTGGCCGGTTTGGCTCAGCGGTTGGAGCATCAGCCTGTGGTCCAGAGAGACCCGGGATCGGTTCCCGCTAGGGGCGCATACCTCGGTTACAGTTTGTCCTAAATATAAACTAAATATAAACTTTATTAATGTTGAGTTTCTAATAAGCTTTGAGTATTGAAAATGAGTGGAAGCTAATAATATTTAATGGTTTTGCTTTCTTTGGCCATTACTTCATTTGCAGTGTTTTAGATAAGGTTTGGTCTGGATAAAATTGTCAAATGAGTCATTCATTGGTTCTCGTATTCTCCTACTTTTTAAAAATCAAACCTCACAAATATGTGAATAATAGTGTGTTCCCAGACACTCATGCTCTTTCCATGATAGAGCCTAGTATTTTTCCCTGGAACTCTTTCCTCTGAGTCAAGCTTATATTTCTTTTTTATCAGAATTTATTCTTAACTAGTAGTCACATCAGAAAATATCTAATTAATGAATTAATATTAAGGTATTTGTAGTTTATAGGAATTACTGTGCTGCCCTCCCTTCTAAAATGTGTATAGCCCTGGCTTGTTTGGTTAAGCAGTTGGAGTGTTGACCCGAGGACCAAAGAGTCCCTAGTTTGATTCCCAGTCAAGGGCATGTACCTTGGTTGTGGGTTTGATCCCCCAGGATCGTGCTGGAGGCAACCAATCGATGTCTCTCATATCAATGTTTCTCTATCTCTCTCTTTCCCTTCCTCCCTCCCACTCTGTCTGAAAAAAATCAGTGGAAAAATATCTTTGGGTGAGGATGAAAAATATATATATTTATGTGTGTGTGTGTATTACCTCCAAACAGTATCTTAAAACCAGTGTTCCTATTGGATATTTTTTGAAGTTAGTGGAAAAGTTGGCTTAGATTACATTTTCTTTATTCAGAATAAGTTATAAAAGTGAGGCCTTCTCTTTTACTGAGTTTTAAAGAGAAGGCCTCACTTTTATACTTTAAAGAATTGTTCTTAATGGTCATCATTATTAAAACACCATTCTAGGAATTTGGAAGCAACATTATATAGCAGACTGACAAAAAAGTCTTTAGAATCAGTCAGAATTTATCTTTAAATCCAGACTCATTGCTCAGGTCCTTTCAGGGAAAAATGACATAGTAGTTACAATTATAGACTTTTGAGTCAGACTGTCATATTTTAATATCAGCTTCACCACTGTGTGATATTGGGTAAGTTATATAACTCTTTGTGCCTGTTTCCTCATTTGTAAAATGAGGAGATAACACTGTTACGCACCTCATAGGATTGTTGTGAGAATTAAATGAGATAATACATGAAAAACTTTAGAAAAACATAATAAATTATCAGGCTTAACTATTTGGTCATACTACCTTTTGAGCCTTGCTTTTGTCATCTGTAGAAATGAGGATAATGTTATTTGTATCATGCTTGGATGAAAAGATTAAATGAAAAAGCATACAAATTTGCCTACTGAAGTTCATGGCATGTTGGAAGTAATTAATAAATGTTCCTTTTTTTTTTTTTGTTAATCCTCACCTGAGGATATTTTGCCATTGATTTTTAGATAGAATGGAAGGGGCAAGGGGGGGGGGGGGGAAGAGGCAGGCAGAGAGAGAGAGAGGCATTGATGTGAGAGAGACACATTGATTGGTTGCCTCCCACACGACCCCAACCAGGCCAGGGATTGAACCTGCAACTCAGGTACGTACCCCTGACTGGGAATTGAACCAGAGACCCTTTGGTCCTCAGGCTGATACTCTTAACAACCACTGAGCCAAACTGGTCAGGGCAATAAATGTTCCTTTTTAAAAAGTTTCAAGTTACTTGTAGTCCTATGAAAGAAATATGAACGTTGGATTTTATAAAACAAATAAGTTAACCCACTGCAATCTGGTTTCTTCCTGTACCACTAATGAACTTGGTACTAAAGTTTAAGTAAAACTGACACTCATGTTATTGAATCTCACTAACATTTCTCCTTTGAACACTGTCTTTGTGTTTTTCTTTATTTTTATTTTTTAAAATTAATTTATTTTTGTTACATATGTCCCCCCCCCCCCAGATACCCTCCTCCTTATCCCGCACCCCCCTTTATGTTTTTCTCTATTGACCATCATCAGACCTTGACTTTTATGGCATTATTATTTTCATCATGTCATAGAGACCTTCTCCTACCTCTGTGAGCACGCCTTCTTAGTTTCTTTCCCTGGAATCTCTTCTTCTTGGATTTTAGTTTTTAATGGGGCTCTGTCCTATATACTTATCTCTTTTTACTTTGTTCATTTTCCTGAAGCAATCTTATTCACTTGTATTGTTTTAACTATCTTCTATATACTAATAACCCTAGGCTCAGATATTTCTGCTCCAGATCTATAAGACTAGTTGTCTGCTATATATTATCTGGCTATCTGTACTGCAGGCCAAGCACAACATGGCCCAAAACAAACTTATTTTCTCCCATGAGATTACCTTTCCTCCTGATATTTTTAATATTAATTTGTGGCATTGCCAGCTACTCAGTATTCCAAATTAGAAACTTGGGAATCATGCCAACATGTTTTACAAAAACTCAATACACATTTCCCAGACTGATGACCAAAATAGCTACTAGATTAGTGGCCCTCCCTTCTAGTTGTTAAAGTACCTGTGTCTTGGTAGCAAAAGGGTTCTGTTACTAATTTTACAACGTCATCTAGAGTAATCACTTAACCATATTATTAGTCAGTTTTACCACCTGTGCCAGAAAGAGAAAATGTGTCATGCAATAGTAAAGTCAGTGAAATCCTCAAATTAAAGATGCTTAGAAATGCAACACAATATTAACATATCTTGTTCTAGTTATTAAAAGTGTTGATATCTGTGAGGGCACCTGATTATCACAATGAAGAATATTAGCCCAGCCCGTGTGGCTCAGGGGTTGAGTGTTGACCCAAGCACCAAACCGGCACGGGTTGTGGGTTCGATCCCCATAAGGGGCGTGCAGGAGGCAGCCTATCGATGGTTCTCTCTCACATTGATGTTTCTAGCTCTTTCTCCCTCTCCCTTCCTCTCTCTCTAAAAAAAACACTAATACCATATTTAAAAAAAAAATTAAAGTGTGTGGTCACCTGCAAAATAGCATTTGTATTAATAGTAAAAGCAAAGCAAACCAGGCAGTTCTCTCTCTCTCTCTCTCTCTCTCTCTCTCTCTCTCTCTCTCACACACACACACACACACACACAGAGCAACTATAGACCCGAGTGGGAAGAATAAAAAACAAAAGATTCATATTAATTTAACTACTGCCCTGTTCTGCCTTGTAAAGGCCTAAAAATTGATGTCTGTGTCAAGGACTTGTTTTTCCCTTTCATTTCCTCTCTAAAGATTAAGGCTTTCAAAGGTCTGGCTGCTGCATCATCAAGAAGCTATTCTGGGTGTTGTGCCCTGGGAGGAGGGCCAGTACAATGATTCATGTGGGTCATTTTTTCTGTGCTTTCGTAAGGATGTTATGGAATGCGTATTACATTTTTTAAAAATCAGTTCCTTCGGAAAGCTATAACATCAAGACCATAGTCTTAGAAAATCTCATTTTTCTTGATAGCCTGCATCTGGGCTTTTAGTCCTTACCTACTAATGACAATCACTCTTTATTATTTTGGTAGATTTAAAAATTTTTTTTCTGTGCAATTATGTGCTTTTTAAAATACTAAGATTGTACTGTATATATCACTTTATAACTTGCTTTAAATGTTTAATTTTTAAAGTGGACAATACATTGATAGGGTTAAAAAAAAAGTGTAAAACTATCCAGTGAAACGCCTCATTTCCTTTCCTTCACCTAGGTAACGACTGTTTACCAGTTTTCTTCCAGAGCATTTGTATGCTTATAAAAGCAAATATGAATAATTTTCTTTGCTATACCTCCTGATTTTTCACACAAATAAAAGGACACTATAATCACTATTCTGCTCCTTGCTTTTTTCACTTGATATATCTTATAATTTATTTAAAATCATTACCTAAAGAGCGTCATTCTTTTTTTATATCTGTCATTTTATAATGTTCCATTGTGTGTGTGTGTGTACACACACACACACACACACACACACACACCATAGTTTGTTTAACCAGTCTTCTGGTAGTGGACATTCAGATTGCTTTCAGTGATTTACTGTTAGTAATAAGGCTATAGTGAGTAACCTCGTATATAGGTCACTTGTCTCTTTACTATATTCCTAGATGTAGAATTCTTAGGCTAAAGGCTATGTGCTTTTCTTTTACCACCAGGTTAAAATTTTTTATTTTGCTAATGTACAAATAGAATATAGCAGTCCACTTTCTATGATTTCTAAACACCTAACCACTGATGATTTCCTTAAGATGCTGTTGTCCTTCATAGTCAGATGCTTAATCTTCTGTGAAAGCCCAACTTGCCTCCCACCGAATTGATTTGTCTTTCTAGAATCTTGTCGGATGTTTTCTTTGTTGGCCTCTTCATGTTGCTGCTTTATTTGAAAGACTTCATTTTCTAATTGCACAGTAGTTCTTTCAATTTCATAATTCTTACTGACCAGAGATACCCAATTTGACTACATTTCTCTTAATTTGAGAAATTAAGAGAAATGTGAGTAGCATGTTCTTTCTCGGCCAGTTTAAATCTTGAATATGTTTCTTTAACTTCTGGAGCTCTTTTTGTGAGTGTTCAATCATGTGAACTACATTTTCATTATATGCTTTCTAGGCATTGCATCCATGCTGTGACATTAGTTCTAGATTCTCAATTTGAACTGCTCGATGATCTAACTGGGCCACAGAATTGTTTACACATTCTTGCTACGCAGTAATGTCATTTTTCTGGCCTGAGGAAGGGGCTGGAAGTTCATATTGTTTTATATTGAGTGATTTAATTGGCCAGTCTTTCTTTTTTTCTGTTTTTGAGCAGCCAATCTTTCAAATTTATTTCACATAATGTTGGTTTCAAAGGTAGAACAATATGGGGCTACCTGTAGCTCAGGTAGCTCTTAGTAGGTTGGTATCTGGAAGTTTCCTTCTCCACCAGTGCCATGGCCACTTCCTGCACACCTGGCACTTCATAACCTTGGTCAAAATACGGCAGCACAGCCTTTTCAGCCACCAAACCTGTGCCTGCCATTCTTAGGTTCACTTGCGTTTTCTCAAGGATATGTGCTTTTCAATATTTATAGCTATTACTGAATTGCCCTCTAGGAAGCTATGTCTGTTTACACCTTCCCCAGTGTATAAGAGTATCTAATTCTTATACTGTTGCCAGTATAGGGTGTTACTAAACTTTAAATTATCACCAATATAATAGGTGAAAAGTTACATTTCTCTTACCATGAAGATGTTCATAAGAGCCATTAAATTATTTTTCTGTCAACTTTTCCTGTTTTTTCCCATTTTCCTTAGAGTTTTAGTCTTATCCTGTGGCTTTATAGGAGCTTTATATTTGTTAAGAAAATTAGTGGTGAGCACACAGTGCAAAATACAGATGATGTATGATAGAATTATACACTTGAAACTTATGTAGTGTGTTAACCAATGTCACCCCAATACATTTAATTTAATAAAAAAGAAAATTAGTCATTTGTTTGTAATATGAGTTGTATATATTTTTTTCTTAGTTTGTTTTTTGACTTTTTTTTTTATCCTCACCCGAGGACATTTTTGCTTTTATCTTCAGATAGAACCGGGGGTTGGGGGGAGAGAAACATCATTGTGAGAGAGACACATCGTGTGGTTGCCACCCACACAACCGCAACCAGGGCCAGGGACAAACCGCAACCGAGTTATGTGCCCTAAGCGGGAACCAAACCCGGGTCTCTCCGGTCTGCGGGCCAACGCTCTAACCGCTGAGCCAAACCCGCCAGGACTGACTTTTTTTTTTATGGTGGCTTTTACTATGTAGAAATGTATGACTTTTAGTAAGTCAAATTAATTATTTCTTTTAGGGCTTCTGGGCTCTGTATGGTGCTTAGAAAGGGCTTCCCCACTCTAGAATAATTAAAAATGTTTCTCCATGGTTTCTATATTACTTTTTTTTCTTTATCCTCACCCAAGGACATTTTTTGCCTTTATCTTCAGATAGAGCAGGAGGGAGAGAGGAAGGGAGAGAGAGAGAGAAACATCTATGTGGGAGAGACACATCAAGTGGCCGTCACCCACACGACCCCAACTGGGCCGGGGACAAATTGCAACCGAGGTACGTGCCCTTAGGGTGAACTGAACCTGGGTCTCTCTGGTCTGTGGGCCAATGCTCTAACCGCTGAGCCAAACCAGCCAGGGCGGTTTCTATATTACTTTTATGGCTTAATTTTTTACATTGAAACCACTCCATATATAATCTATTTTGAATATACTTAATTCCCTTGGCACATGGGTTTTTTTCTGGATTTCAGATATGGTCTGTTGTTCTCCATTTGAGTGCCATCACCATTTAGGTTTAATTATTGTAGCTTTTCAGTGTGGTAGGAGTAGTTCTTCATTTATACAGCATCTTTCGTTGTTGGTTTTTCCCCCAACATTCAAACATTTGTCATTTTATTACCTGTTAACTAGAGTAGACTGTTACATGGTTTAAGTGCTTCTTCCCCAGGATTAGGGGAATTGGGAAGCTGTCACTCTTTCAGCAAATATACAACATAATTTTTAATGTGTGTATAATACTACATGAATGAATTTATTTATTTAATACCCTAATTTATTTAATCAGTACCCTACTGATAAATGTATAAAGTGTTTATATTTCTTGCATATTTTTTGCTATTATACTGAACATTCATGTCTTTTTAAATTTTAAATTTGTGCCACTAGTCTTCCTTTTTGATATGTACTTGTGCTTATATTCATTGAAAAATATTTTTAATTAAAAAATCCACTGTTTTTACTTTTTCCCCTTATGGGATGTATAGGCTTTTCTTTTCTTCCCCCCACCCCATTTTCCCCCCAATCCCCATCTTCACATTTAGCTCTTCAATCCAGCTGGAATTTCTGTTGATACATAGTTTGTGAGAATGCCTAAATTTATCTACTTCCAACTAGCCAATTTCCCCAACAATATTTGTTGAATAATCTATTTCTTTTCTACTGTTTTTTCCCCCCAAAAGTGGTTTATTAAGTGAGCCTAAATTTTTTTTTAATCATCACCCTAGGATATTTTTCCATTTATCTTTAGATAGAGTGTTGGGGGGGGGGGGGCGGGCGGGGGGGACAGAAACATCAACATGAGAGAGACACATTGACTGGTTGCCTCCTGTAGACCCTGGCCACGGCTGGGGACTGAACTGAAACTGAGGTACCTGCCCTTGGCCATAATTGAACCTGTGACTCTTTGGTCTGTGGGCCGAAGCTCTAACTGCTGAGCCAGACTGCCCAGGGCGAGCCTACATTTTTTTTAATGGACTTAATTTTTAAAGCAGTTTTAGGTTCTCAGCCAAATTGAGCAGAAGGTGCAGAGATTTCTCAAACTTCCTGCCTCCACTACTGCATAACCTCTCCCATTACAGCCGGCCCTCGTTTATCTCGGTTAATCAGTTCCAGACTCTACCGCGATAAATGAATTTCCACGAAGTAGGATTCTTTATTTATATACAGTTGTCCCTCATATGAAAAAACTGCGATAGAGTGAAGCCACGAAAGTCTAAGCGTGAAATGGCGAGGAGCGACTGTATCAGCATTCCCCACCAGAGTAGCACATTTGTTACAACTAAGGAACCTGTATCGATATATCATCATCACCCAAAGTCCATAGTTTACATTAGGGTTTATTCTTGGTCTTATACAGTCTATGTTTTGGACAAATTTTTAATGACATGTAACCACCATTATAGTATCATACAGAGTAGTTTCACTGCCCTCAAAATCCTCTGGGTTTCACCTACTCATCCTCTCCATCCAGCCCACCACAAATCGTGGCGCCACTGTCTTTTTACTGTCTCCATAGTTTTGCCTTTTCCAGAATGTCATATAGTTGGAATCATAAGGTATGTAGGCTTTTCAGATCAAATTCTTTCATTTAGTAATATGCATTTAAATTTCCTCCATGTCTTTTTGTGGCATGATAGCTCATTTCTTCTTAGTGCTAAATAACATTTCATTGTTTGGATGTACTACATTTTATTTATCCATTTACCTACTGAAGGACATCTCTATTGCTTCCAGGTTTTGTTAATTATGAATAAACCTGCTATAAACATCTGTGTGTAGGTTTTTATGTGGACATAAGTTTTCAACTTCTTTGGGTAAATAACAAGGAGTGTGATAACTGGACCATATGGTAAGAGTATGTTTAGTTTTGCAAGAAACCACCAAACTGTCTTTCAGAGTGGCTATAACATTTTACATTACTACCAGCAGTGAATAAGAGTTCTTTTTGCTCTAAGTCCTTCCCAGCATTTGATGTTGGCATTGTTCTGGATTTTGACCATTCTAATAGGTATATAGTGTTATTGTGTTGTTTTAATTTATATTTCCCTGACGACATATGATGTGTATCTTTTTCTGTGTTTATTTGCCATGTGTTTATCTTTGGTGAAGTGTCTGTTAAGGTCTTTGGCCCATTTTTAAAATCAGATTATTTATTTTCTTATAGTTTAATGTGGAGAGATAAGGGTATAAAATAGATTATTTTCACTGTATAACATGCTATATAATATGTATGAATTACTTGTTCAAAAGAACACTTAAAATAATTTTAAACAGTTATCCTTTAAAAAGGTGAACATGTATATGAATTCCTTTGATTGCTGTTGAGAACTTTTTTGAGGCAAAGGAAGGTTATGCTTTTTTCCCTCTCTCTTTGAATGTCAACACTAGAACTAGATTTGGTCCAAAGTGGTAGTGATTTGTTTACCATGTGTGTTCTCGCAGCAGGTCTGTTGCCGCCAGACTGATTACTGGCAATTTGTGAAAGACATCCGCTGGCTTAGTCCCCACTCAGCCCTTCATGTGGAGAAGGTAAGAAATGAAGGTAACCACAGGGTTTTGTTGTTTGATGTTCTATTTGAAGAGTCTCCTAGGACAGAAGGGTGGTGTGTGTCAAGTTTCTTATCAACTAAGGAGAGGAAATTATCCCTATAGGACTGATTTGGAGGGGAGGATTATTTGCTTTAAAAAATACACTTTGTGCCCGGCTAGAGTGACTCAGTGGATTGAGGGTCATCCATGGATGGAGAGGTCCCAGTTTGATTCCTGGTCAGGACACATGTCCAAGTTGTGGGCTCGATCCCTAGTGAGGGGCATGCAGGAGGCAGCCAGTTGATGTTTCTCTCTCTCTCCCTTCCTCCCTCTCTAGAAAGCCAATTAACAATAATAATAAATAAATGTTGCAAACCCATTATTCTAGACTACTTTCTGTCCTCTGGGGAAGGGGTGAAAAAGTTTTGTTGTTTTCAAAAGAACTATATATATGGGACCAATACAGAGTTTTTGAAAATCCAGGCATATGGTAAGAGGTTCCCTGATCTGGTTGGAGGAAGTGGAACTGAAATGCTAATAACTGTTTAAGACGATGAGGATGTACCAGTTAGAAAAAATGTGAAGTTCTAAAGGCCAGTGTCAAATGGAGCCAAACATGTTCCTAACAGCTTTGGCTACCATCACAGAACTCTACTCTTCTGTCCTCTGAGCTCATCATAGGACCCCTGATTTCTAGGCAGGGAAACAGAGCTTAAGGAGGTGACTTGGTCAGAGTTACACAACTAGTTCCAGATCAATTGCTGCCAAATTTATGTATCTATTTATTTAACTCTTTATTATGGAAAATTTTAATATATACAAAATTAAAGAGAATAGTGTAATGAACTCCAAAATATCCATCACCCATCTTCAGTACTTTTTTTTTTTTTAATATATATATATTTTTTGCCCTGGCCAGTTTGGCTCAGCAATTATAGCATCAACCCGTGGACCACTGAGTCCTGGATTCGATAGTGGTCAAGGGCACACACCTTGGTTGCAGTTTGTCCCTGGCCCTGCTCGGGGTCATGCGGGAGGCAACCAGTCCATGTGTCTCTCTCATATCGATGTTTCTCTCTCTCTCCCTCCCTCCCACTCTATCTGAAGATAAATAGAAAAAAATATATGCTCAGGTGAGGATTTAAAAAAATATGTGTGTGTGTGTATATATATACATATACACACATACATATATTTGTATATATACATATATATATTTTTTTATCCTCACTCAAGGACATTTTTCCATTTTTTGTTCAGATAGAGTGGGAGAAAGAGAGAGAGAGAGAAACATCGATGTGAAAGGGACACATTGAGTGGTTGCTACCTGCACAACCCAAACAGGGCCAGGGACAAACTGTAACCAAGGTACGTGCCCTTAGCAGGAACCGAACCTGGGTCTCTCTGGACCGCAGGCCGACGCTCTAACCGCTGATCCAAACTGGCCAGGGCTGTATATATATATATATATTTGTAAATTGATTTTTTAGGGAGAGAGATAGAAACATCGATGTGAGAGAGAACTATCAATCAGCTGCCTCCTGCATGCCCCTACTGGGGATTGAGTCCACAACCAGGGCATGTGCCCCAACCCACAGTCGAACCCGGGACCTCTCAGTCCATGGGTCATCCTCAGTCCAATGAGTCACACTGGCTGGACTTCAATACTTATTGATTCATGGCCAGTCTTATTTAATGTGTACCCTACCCACTGCCAGATTTATTGTTGAGGTGATGTTGGGAAAAGTAATTTATTTTTAAATGGTTAAGGAACCAAATAACAAGGTCTCACACTAGCCTTTTTAATGAAGAGGCCAGAACCCAGTGATTTTCTTATGTAGATTTTTTTGTCTTCATTTATTTTTTTCCATCAAACCTCCTCCTAATTTTTTTAAATAAATATATTGCTGTATTGCCCTGGCCAGTTTGGCTCAGCAGTTAGAGCATTGGCCTGAGGACTGAAGGGTCTTGGGTTCAATTCCCGGGCAAGGGCACTTACCTGGGTTCCAAGTTTGATCCCTGGCCCCGGTGGGGGTCATGTGGGAGGCAACCAATCGATGTGTCTCTCTCACATCGATGTTACTCTCTCTCCCTCCCTCCCTTCCACTCTATCTAAAAATCAATGGAAAAATATTCTTAGGGGAAGATTAACAACAACAGCAAAATGTATATATTGCTGTCGTCATTTACTCTTAGAAGCTGCTTGAAATTGCTATCCATCCTTTTTTTGCACTGATCCTGTGCTATGAGACCTTGCTTTCTGAAACAGCAAGTAGAAGGAGGTGCAAAATAGAGAATGCTGTGGCTAGAGGCAGAAAGAGGTGCTTACATGGTTTCTCTTCGGTGAAGAATCTTTGGTGGCATTTTCCCTAGATACTTTCCCCAAGGCTTTTGTTGAATCCTTTCGTGAAGGCCATCTGAAATAGAGGACTCTGTGAGAGAAGGCAAGAGATCAAGTTTATCCTTCCTCTGAATACCCTAAAACAGATGCCTCTTTGGAGTTAGACCATAAAGAAACATATGAAGCAGTTTTGTTTTCTCTAGGAGCTGTATATTAGGTCTTAACTGCTTAGACCCTCTCCAGTGGCCCAATCCAGCAGTGGAGCCTTTAATCCCTTCCTCACATCTCCTTCCTCAGTAACCTCTAGATGGAGCTGGAGGAAAAATACCTCTGATTGCCTCCTCTTAACCTGTGTCAATTTAGTTCTCAGGTCTTTAGGCCTCAGTCTTGCTGTGTTTCACCAGTATACATGTTTTGACTCATGCTTTTTTGCCTCCTAGTTCATCAACTTGCATGAGAATGGCCAGAGCAGCACTGATGGCGTGAGTGACCGTGTCACTGCAGAACTGTGGCTGCAGCATAGCTTGCAGTTCCACTGTCTCTCAGCTCAGCTCCGACCTCTGCTTGGGGATAGACAGTATATCAGAAAATTCTACACAGGTACGTAGAGGTCACTTAGCCAGGATTGTGGCATATACTCCCTCATTGTTTTCTACTTTACTCTTCCTTTAAAGACTCACTCTTACCCAGGGTCTCATAATTTTACTTGATGTCATAGAAATCCTAGTCAGGAACACATAGCCAGTCTTCTCTCTCACTTCCTAAGTAATACATAATCAAACTTATTCCCCTACTCTCATAAACACAAACCAATAAGAATAACTGCTATTTACTGAGAGTTTTTATGTTCCAATCACTGTTACATATCTTTTATACTTTTAACAACAGCCGGAGAGTTTTCCAATCAGGAAAGTAGAGCTCAAGGAGGTTAGGTAACTTGGCCAAAGCCACGCAGAGCCAGGATTTAAATCTGGGTCATTCTGACTTTGAAGCCTCTTATCCTGGCCTCTCTCCTATACTGTACATTACTTAGCCTCTCCTGTACTTGATTTGTCACTGGCTCCCCTTCTTCCACAGTGGCATCATTCTGCTCAAGTCATATTTACCTTTTCCCTCAATCCTTTCCTGAGCTTCTCCTAGGGTCATACAGGGAAGCTGAAGATCTCCCTGTTGGGCTCCATCACTGTGGTAACTTTTCTTTCCCCAGATACTGCTTTCCTGCTAAGTGATGCCCACGTCACAGCCATGCTCCAATGCCTAGAAGCAGTGGAACAGAACAACCCCCGCCTCCTCGCCCAGATTGATGCATCTATGGTAAAGGGAGAAAGGAATTATCTATGTCTATGTTGGCCTCCTAGACCTCACCAGGATGTAACTAACGTTCTGTAGCCAACTATTTCTTCACTTAAGCAGTTGTGAACTGAAAGGCTTTTATTTTAAAAAATACTTGGAAAAGAAGGGGAGGTACTGTTAAGTACCTGTTGAAGTAAAAAGTCTAAGCTTAGGTCTGTTTGAGAAAGGAAGTGTCTTTTTTAAACCCTTCTAAAAATCTTTAGTCCGAGTAAGCACCTCCTTAAAGGGCAGGCTTGACAAAGAGCTTGGAGAAGAGGGATGATTTTGAATCAGGAGTAGCATTTACAGCATCACACCTAGTATGGATGGTCTAGTATTATACTGCATCATTTTTGTCCTTGAAATATAAAGAAAGTTTTGTTGCTTGATGTTGTTTATTAACTCTCCAATTCACTCACCCCATCACTAATACCAGTGCCTCACCTAGAATGGAATCACAGTCCCTCCTCCTTTTAGGAGGGATCCCCTATCTCCCCTGATTTTTTTTTTTTTTTATCCTCACCTGAGGACTTTTTTTTTTGCATTCATCTTCAGATAAAGTGGGAGAGGGGAGGGGGAAGAAACATCGATGTGAGAGAGACACATCGACTGGTTGCCACCCACACGACCCCAACCAGGGCTGGGGACAAACTGCAACTGAGGTGTGTGACTTTAGCGGGAACTGAACCTGGGACTCTGGTCTGCGGGCCGGTGCTCTAATTGCTGAGCCAAACTGGACAGGGCTGTCTCTCCTGATTTTAAATTTTAATTCTTAGTTACCATCTATTGAATATTATGTATGTGCCAAGCATGGTGCTGTGTACAATTCATGCATCATCTCATTTAATCATCATAACTCTATAAGGTTGCCATTAATCTCATTTTATAAAGGACACCACTGAGGGACAGAGTAGATAAGTCACTTGCCCAAAGTTTGGACCAAATAGCATATAAGTGATAGGGCCTGGATTTCAACTTTGGTCTGACTTGTGACTCCATGTGCATAGCAGTCCAAGCCTGCTGCCAAAGGCTGGCTTCTACCAGAATTTCTGCAGTGCTTGGTGCTCCTCTGAGGACATCTATCCTTGACTCTGACACATTTTTCTTTTTCTTTTAGTTTTCCAGAAAACATGAGAGCCCGTTGCTGGTGACAAAGAGCCAGAGCCTGACAGCGCTACCTGGTTCCACATGCACCCCTCCAACCAGTTACGCTCAGCATTCCTATTTTGGGTCCTTCTCTAGCCTCTACCAATCTGTACCTAACCACGGCCCAGGTATGGGAGCAGGAAGAGGTAGTCATGACATGTATTCCCAGCTTGGAAAAAAGAAGACTTTCTGGGTGCTCACAGGCTGGGTATAGAGCCTTGGGTTGGTGCAGTGTGTCAAATTTCATGTCTCAATAATGGACATCTTGAAAAGGTGTATAGCAACAAGCCTAAGATAATTCAGTAGAATCACTAAGTAACAGAGGAAAGAGAGGTGTTTTTAGATTCCTCTGGGTTTCTAATCTTCATTGCCAAGAAGGCGTTTCAATAAAAATAGCTAACATGTATTGAATGCCTACCATGTGCCAGGCTCTGTTTTAATCAGTTTATATGTATTATCTCATTTGATCCTCAAAACAGTCCTATGAGGTAGGTATTATTATTGCTCATTTTACAGATGAGAAATGCATACTAATAAGCCATGAAGCCACTGTCTCAAGAGCTCATTCTCTTGACTTAGCTGCTTCTAAGTAATTTTTTACTCACCTCAAATGGCTTACCTTTTTTTGAGGCGATGCTATGTGTTCTGAGCATCTAGTAATGATAGGGAATTTGTTCCTTAGTTGTGGAGAAGCCCTTCATGTATACTAAAGGCTTCCAGCTCACCTTTCCCTTTCCTTTCTTTTTCTATTCTAGAAAGAAGATCTACTTCCTTTTCTCTCTCTGGCCTTCCCCGGAAACCTCAAGAAAGCAGAGGGCACGTTTCCGCAGAGGATCAAACCATCCAAGCCCCTCTGCTTCCAGTCTCTGCATTAGCCAGGATTTCCCCCTCAACTCCAAATGAGATGAGCTCCAGCACTCTGACCAGCCCTTTAGAATCATCCTGGGTCAGCAGCCAGAATGATTCCCCAAGTGATGCCAGTGAGGGGCCCGAGTACTTGGCCATTGGCAACTTGGACTCTCGAGGCCGGACCAGTAGTTGTCAGAGTAACAGCAGCAATGCTGAGAGCAGCAGCTCCAATTTGTTCTCCTCCAGCAGTTCCCAGAAGCCAGCTTCTGCTGCTTCTTCCCTAGTGGACCAAGAGGGAGGTGGGCAGAGCCAGCTGTCCAGTGTCCTTCGCAGGTCCAGCTTCTCAGAGGGGCAGGCACTCACTGTCACCAGTGAAACGAAGAAGAGCCATACTCGCTCCCATTCGGATACCAACATCACCTCCAGGGGAGCCCCAGGTAATGTGAATCACCAGCCCCTAGTTGGTAAGGTAGCCTCCTGGATTTTTCTTGGGGTGGAAGGGAGAGTTTGTTCTTAAGGATCTTCAAATGGCAGAAAGAGAAGTTATGTTCTGGATCACCTGATAGTGTCCTGCTTATAACAAAAGAGAGAAGTTTGTAACCTAATAGGGATACCAAAGGATTCTCTCTGAGAATATGTTTGTTCCTTTATACATTGCTAAAGTAAATGCTTCCCTGAATTCTTTCCCTAGTTCTTTAGCATCAGACTACATACATAGTGTGACTCATAACAGTCTGAGTTTTAAATATATCTTTCAGACAGATGGGAAGTAACTAATAAACTTTTTAAATAATCCTATTACATTCTTCTCCTTCCTGTGATTCCTGAGAAGTTTGGTCAGCATGTATTACCAATATGAAAGCGGCCAAGTGATATTAGGGTTTCCTTATTAAAACTAGGGATGTAGCGAGTGTGGGGTGATGTGACCTAGTAAACAAGTAGGTGGGGCAGACTGTGCATCACTAATTCAGGTTGAAAGGCAGTCAAGTAAAGAGGCCCTGGCCACTGAGACTTCCCTCACACAAATACCAGCTGCCAGCAGCAGAGAGTCCCACAGGCACAGGGAAGGTGGGTCTCATTGCTTTTGCCATCTTCCTGCCATCATCTTTCCTGGGTTGTTGGTGTCTGGCAGGCTGTGGTTGGGTTTCATTTGTAAGAGAATCTCCACTACAGCAAGTTTAATATAGACCTTTGTGTTTAAAGCCAGTTCTGTGTGGGAAAGCCCCACAAATAAAATATAAAAAATTAAGAACAAAAAATGGAGGATTCCATTTAGCAACTAGAGCTGCCATTGATTTCTCTTTGTAATTTCTAGAAAGGTGAGAGCTAAGGCCCTCATCTGAAACTTCTGAATGGCATACTTTTGTCTGTTTTCCTGTCAAGAATATGGTTCGGCTTGTTGGAGCTCCTTAGAAAAAAAACCCCTCCAAGTCAAAGCCTGTCTTCCCATGAGCTTTTTTAGATGTGAAGAGTGCTTGGGTTAGAGCCTCAATTCACATCTCCTGCTGCAGGCCTGCTGTCTGCTGAATGCCAGGCTACTGGTCTCTGAGCATGTGATACTTCCCTGTCCTCATTCTTGAATCCACTTACATTCCAGAAACCACGGTAACCTGCATTGGAAAGGGAGCCAGAGAAAACCTAAGCAGAAGGGTCTGTGGGCGTGTGGGTCATGTGCAGCTTATACAAGTCATTCCTTCTTCAGCAGAAGGGTTCCCTCTCGGGACTTAAATCCCCACCTGTGCTAAATAAAAGGACACTCTTTTTCTCACTTTCTCTGTTCTCGTTTCCCCTCTCTGGACTCTCTTCTGCACCTGTCTGTCTACGTACAGGAGGCCCCAGGAATATCACCATTATAGTTGAAGATCCCATTGCAGGTTTGGGAGCCAGTCCTCCTCCTTTCTGTGTGCCCCCTCCTCCTCCTGCTGTTCCTCGGTGACCAGTATGCTTCATTCAGAACCTCCTTTTCCATTCTGGTGTCAAATCAAGTCTGGCTAGTCTGGTCCTGCTGTGATGCTTGGGCCTGTCTGTAAAATGGCACTGGTAGTTTGTATAATATGTGTTCTGCCCACGACTTCCAAATGCTTCATTCAGTCTCCCAACTTCTCTGGGAGGCAGAGTCAAGACTTGTCTGACTCTGTCCAAAGATGGAACTGAGGCCTGCTATATATCAAAGGCATCATGTGAAACAGTGGCAGGATTTTTCTTATAACTGAGCACTTAGATTACTTTCTTTTCCTTGAATTAATACCAGAATGTGTTTTCTGTTCTTTCTGTGGTCTTGGATGTGGATGCATGCTTTTTGCCTCTCCTAGAGTCTCCTGTTTGCTTTTTCTGTCACCCGTCTTCCTTCTCTTTATCAAGTTCTCCTCACCCCTCATTCCAGCCATTGTATAGGATTTTTCCAGTGACATAGTCTGTGTCTTTGATTTTCACATTGGTGTTCAAACTGACTATTGTACCATAATTCATGGAGACAGTTATTAATAGGATGTATCTGTAAGACAGAGTGGTGAGGGAGGACTGAAAACCATGTTCTCCTGATAATGGGTGAAGCCACTGGGTATGTTAGCTTGGAAAAGAGGTTAAAGAGGAATAAATCTGTGAGACCATTGTTTGGAGGAGCGTTATTCTTAAGGAGATGAGAAATTGTAATAGGACAGATTTCAAGTGAGGGAGGTCTGAGCATTAGAGAGCTTCAGTTGAATGGACTGGCATCAGGAGGTAGTAAGTTCAACAAAGCAAGCCTAGATGGCCTTTACATGTTTAAGGGGACAGGGTGCTGGTGTTGGAGTTTGTGCTGTAAACTGAATTTGACTGGGGGACCTCAAAATTCCCTTACAAGTCATGGTTTTTTAACAAGGCATCATGGTAACTGCTAGTTTGCCTTCCGTTCAGTAGTGAGGAGCAGAGCCCATTGCCAGGACCACCGGAAATCTTTGAGGCCCAAGAACACAAAGTTATCTCACCACATAGTAGCATGTTTTGTGAGAGGAGCAGCTGACAAGTTGGCACCGTCTGTCAGGGAAACGGGCTGGATGCAGCGCAGTCATTCATTCTCCCTGAGCAAATGGCTTATTTCTCAGGCACCCACCTGCTTTCCTGCCTGCTCTTCCTTCAGTGACACTGGAATTTTGTTTGCTTTTGGAAATTTTTAGTTTCTCATTTCCTGCGAGCCCTTGCCTGCTGCTATTTCTCCACTCCCAACTTTCACTGTTCCTTGAAAACTTCTACCCACACACTTCCTTACTATGCCAGCTTTCTCTTGAACCCATTCCCTTCCCACTACAGTAAGTCTGGGCCTCCAGCCCTTTGGTTACAAGGCCATCAACCTTGGCTTCTCTAGCATTGTCTTGATGCTTGTTTTAAGGACATTGCTGGATTGTGTTTTGCTGTTCTGCCAATTCAGAAATGGGTTAAATTTGTTGGTATGACAAATTTACATTTCAGGTTGAAGAGAAGCCACATTCTAGTATTTCCTTAGTGAGTTTAATCCTTCTGATATTGTTTTAAACCTAGTGTCAAGGTATCAGAAAAGTTTCAATTTGCTTAAGTTTGTTTTACCATGTGAAGATAGTTTTGTAAATTGGTTTTTCAAGAGGGTAGAAGTTGTCTGATATTTCTGGAAGATTTGATAAGAAGATGGAAGAACAGAGAACTAAATTCATAAATCCACTTTCATTTGATTTCTTTTTCACCTTTGTGGGCGATGTTTTTTCTCTTTTTTTCCCTTAGATTGTATTGACTTCCCATGCCTTTCCTCCATGTCTTTTGCGCTCTTGGACTGTTCCCTGTTGGTGTGCTACCTCTCTTCTGTTTGGGAGGGTGCTGGGAATGGGAACAGTTAAATATTGACGAGCCAAAGTTGGAAATGTATCTGTTGCTCACCTTGTCTGTGTGTTTTTACTTCCTGGTGGCCACTGACACTAGAATCCTGCAATGATAAGTCGAAGTTGAGAGGCCCCTTGCCCTACTCTGGCCAAAGCAGTGAAGTCAGCACACCCAGCTCTCTGTACATGGAGTATGGTAAGTGAGTACTAGGAAGGCAGGGCTGCAATTGTCTTTGCTCTCCCCTTGTGCCTGCTAAGTTCCGAGCTATGTGGCTCATGTCAGCTCTGTGGAGGGTACTCACCATACAGTCTCACTCTCCCTTTCATCCTTGTCAACCCCTGTGCTAGATATCACACTGCCCCGCCATTTCTCTTGCTTCTCTCTGACTTAGCCATCCCACCCTCTCTTATGCTATGGGTGTTACCACTATGAATATCTGCTGAGCCAGATAGAATGGCTCTCTGAGTGGGTGAGAGGGACCTTGAAAAGAGGACTTTGAGCGTTTGGGATTAATTACCAAAGGATAAGCTCCACATAGAAATCATTCATAGGAGGAAGCCAGTTTTTCCCTGTCTGACTCTCAGAATAGGTTTTGTTTTCTTTTTTTGTGAGATAAGAGAGTGACTATGCCACCTTAAATTTAGGTGGTAAAAGAATTTTCTCCAGGCTCTTTCCATTTAGTCCATCATTCTTTAACCAAGAGGCTTAGTGCTCTGAGATCCTGCAAATCAGAGAAATTCCTTTAGAAGGTAGATGTCTTTTTTCCAGCTGGTTACCTGGGAAAACCGGGGACCATCGTTAGTGGTAAAATTCAGACTTCTTAAAGAAGCATGACTGTCACAGATTTGCTTTTCATATTCACCTTCCATTTGCCCACAGAGGGTGGTCAGTACCTGTGCTCAGGTGAAGGCATGTTCCGAAGACCATCAGAAGGACAGTCCCTTATCAGCTACCTGTCTGAGCAAGACTTTGGCAGCTGTGCTGACCTGGAAAAGGTGAGGAATCTAAGGGGCTACTGACAAGCCCACGAGTCGGGAGATCTTAGGGGCTGCAGTACCATTTGTTCTAAAGAGGTCTTGGGGTACACAGCAGTTACATGAGTATAGACTGTAGTAAAGGTAAATTCACTGTGAATACAAGCTCAACAAATTCTGTCTATGGAGAACTCTTTAAGGGAGTTGTGCTTCTCATCGAGTCCAAAAATATGATTTTGTTTTAGAAGCTGCCTTGGAAAAAGAAGCATTGATTTTAGCCACATGATTGTTTCCTTGACCCTGAAACCTTAGGGAAAAACTGTTTCCAGAATCAACTTCTATATTTTATTCTAAGGCTCAGATACGTAATAAATAACATCCCTATAGAATGCTTATAGCTTACAAAACACTTTCCCTTCTTCTTTTTTTTTTTTTAATCCTCACCTGAGGACATTTTTCCATTTATTTTTAGATTAGGAAGGAGGAGAGAGGGAGAGAGAAACATCGACACAAGAGAGACACATCGATTGGTTGCCTCCCGCGCAACCCCAACCAGGGCTGGAGACGAACTGCAACCGAGGTACGTGCCCTTGGCCGGAATCAAACCCGGGCCTCATTGGTCCACGGGCTGATGCTCTAACTGCTGAGTCACACAAACCAGGGCCAAAGCACTTTATTTTGAGACATTACATTTACTTTAATACTTTGTGTACCAGTGTATGGCTTTAGGAAATATCCCGATATGAAATTCTGGACCACTTCTCTGTCATATTTTTATGCAGAAAGTAGGGCAGGAAGGCCAGGCATGAACAGGTACAAGAGTAAAGAGAATGTGAACAGGTTTTCTGGCCATCAGCTTTCCTTATAGTAGAACTGTACATTTCCCATGGGTGTTTTGAATAAAAGCAGTGTGTGCTTTGGGAGCTTTATTTCCAACATTATAATCGATGAAGTGTTCAGTACTTCTAAACCCCTTGCTAAACAACTTCTATGGTGCTCTCCTTCCCCCAGGAGAATGCCCACTTTAGTATCTCAGAGTCCTTGATTGCTGCCATTGAACTGATGAAGTGCAACATGATGAGCCAGTGCCTAGAAGAGGAGGAAGAGGAGGGGGAAGACAGCGATAGAGAGATCCAGGAACTGAAGCAGAAGATCCGCATTCGTCGCCAGCAGATCCGCACCAAGAATCTGCTCCCTGTGTACCAGGAGACTGAGCATGGAAGTGAGTGAGGCTGTGAACACCTCTGTTCTGCTTCTTCCACACTCCAAGATAAGACTTGGTGCCTCATGGGTTTTCTTTTCTATCTTTTTTTTTTTTTTTTAAGTTTTTTTTTTTTTTTCTCTATTGATTTTAGAGAAAGAGGAAGGGAGAGGGAGAGAGAGAAACATCGATGAGAGAGAACATCGATTGGCCACCTCCTGCATGCCCCCCACTGGGGATCAGGCTCACAACCTGAGCATGTGGCCTGACCAGGAATTGAACCGGCGACCTCTTGGTACATGGGTTGACACTCAACCAATGAACCACACTGGCTGGGCTTTCTTTTCTGTCTTAATTTGAGATGTTATAACCAAGCCAAGGGTTCCTCTTCTGTCAAAAAGATCTTCTATGTTTCACTTTTTCCTACCAGACCAGAGTCCTAGAATTCATCCATTTCCTGCCTCAAAAATATCTTCCAAAAAGGTTTCTGATATGAGGAGAACTAAGACCATTGGTCCTAGATTCACTTCTCAGATAGTAATACCTTCTATTTACATGAAACTTTATAAATTTCATGAATAAAATGGGGATCAGCCAGCAAGAAGAACTAGTTTCCACTTCCTCAGCTTCACTCCAAGTTCTGTTTACTTCTCTGTTGAAGTCGTATCAGGTCCCTTTTGTTGTGACCGCAGAAGTAGGAGATATTTTTCTCTCCTGTTTATCCACGCCCCTCCCTCCCCCTTTTAATGTTAACAGGCTTTCGGGTCACTTCAAGCAGCTCCCAGTTCAGTTCACGTGATTCCACACAATTCTCTGACTCTGGCTCTGCTGATGAGGTTGATGAATTTGAAATCCAAGGTAAGAAGTAACACTTTGCTTCAGGGGAGCTTTTGTTATCTGTGTTTTTCATTTCAGATCATAGGCTTTCCTTAAGTACGGAATCTTCAGCATGGTCCATTAGGGAATGTTGTTGGCTATTGTAAGGGACAGCCTCTTGTTAAAAACAAAACCTCTTTAAAATTTAAGCAGAAAAGAGCACTGAAAGGAAGTGTTTCGGGTGGAGTGGACTGGCTGTTGAAGCCACCCTGGTGCTTCTTCCTCAGTTGTACCTTCCTCTTGGATTCCTCCTGCTAAGAGCCTAGGGCTGGCTCATACCTACATAAGATTAGAATCCTGTTCTCTTGTATTCCATAACACAACTGAATTGTTCAAGTGTTTAAAAGGAGCTTTATTATAATCCTAAGAGAAAAGAACAGAAAGAGTCACTGGGGGAGAAAAGTAAAAAAAGGAAAAAAGAAAGTTTACAAAGTAGAGCTTTATTTTCTGTCCTACCAGTTCCAAGTTGCTTCGCAGAATCCCAGACTCTTGTAGTTCTTGTTGTTGTAAGCATCTGCATAGAGAAGGGAAGGGGTTGGTGTTAAATCCTGGGAAGGCGGTTGTGTTAAATTAGGTTAAGTCATGATTAGTAGGTTAATTCATTCCTGCAAATCATAGATTTCTTCAAGTTCCCATCAGTGTAACAAACCAACTAACAAACAAAAAAAACAGTTCAGGGACATAGCTTTTCTCCCATGGGTGAAACCAAGATTAATTTTCTTATAGAGGGTGAATTGTATCTGTAATTCTCCATTATAACATGATGATGAATAGATAGATCTTTTATTGCATGAGGCTCTGGTTTCCTGTTTACCAATCTAGAGAACCCATTCACCTGCACAGACCTCCAGGTGTGTAACTGGGTTTCTTCCTCATTCAGAAATAAATTTTTACACATATTTTTCTAGGTTTCCAGGAAATCTTCCTTCTGTATTCTCCTTAATATATCTGATTTATGTTCATGACAGTAGTCACTTAAAACTCATTTTGTTTGTTGGTTTGTATGTGGTTTTCCAACAATTCTCCGATTTTCTGACACCAACTGAGCATCCTTTAATTCATTTCTAACACTAACTCCTGGAGCACAGACCTGACCTCACAGCTTGAGGTCTCAATCTTATGAGACTATCCCTGCTTAGATGCCAGCCACAAATGGGGTCACCAGGCTACCACATGTCTCCCCAGCCAACTTCAAATTCATGGGTTCTCATGACTCCCTACTCAGTAATTAGCTAGAATGACTCACAGAACTCAGGAAAGCACTATACTTACAATTATAGTTTATTGTAAAAGATAAAAATGAACAGCTACAAGAAGAGGCATGTAGGGCGAACCTCTGTCCCTGTGGAGAGGGTGTGCCACTGTCCTAGCACATCGATATATTCACCAATGAGGAGGCTCCCCACACCTCATCACTGTGAATTTTTTTTTTTTTTTATCCTCACCCGAGGACATTTTTCCATTTTTTGTTCAGGTGGGGGGGGGGGGGGAGGAACAGAAAGAGAGAAACATCGACGTGAAAGGGACACATCGAGTGGCTGCCACCCGCACAACCGACCAGGGCCGGGGACAAACTGCAACCGAAGTACATGCCCTTAGCGGGAACCGAACCCGGGTCTCTCAGGACCGCAGGCCAACGCTCTAACCGCTGAGCCAAACCGGCCAGGGCATCACTGTGAATTTTTATCAAGCTTTCATTGTGTAGCTGTGAGTGATTAAATATTTGACCATTGGTGATTAAACTTAATCTCCAGGCCCTCTCCCTTCCTGGGAAATTGGGATTGGGGCTAGAAGTTCTTCTGGTAACCAGACCTATCCAAGCTATCTGGATGTCCCCAAGGGTCCCCCTATTAAATAGCATGAACTCAGATATAATAGAAAGAGGCTCATTATGGATAACAAAAGACATTCCTGTCACTCAGGAAATAAGGATGTTAGAACCTCTATGTCAGGAACTGGTCCAAAAACCAAATGTATATATTTTTATTATACCACAGTCTGTGATTGACTTGATCTCCAAATTAGAAAAAAATTAAAAGAATATGTCTTTCCTTTGGTATCAATAGTCAGAATTTTATGAGGGTAATATTAAGGTAAAATCAAAACATCCTGCTTTACTGGGTGTGGATAATTCTGTTCCTTACAGCAAAGCAAAGAGCCAGGGGAAGTTGTGTAATCTGGAAGTAGCCAAATTTGAAATAGCGTGCCTGGGGTGGCATGAAATACATTAGTGGGCCCAGAGAGATGTTTAATCAACTAACTATCTGGTCAGTTCAAAACAGAAATCCTTGAAGGGACAGACCTTAAGGCAGGGTTTCTCAAACTCTAGGCCCCATAATTCTTTGTTATGATAGACTGTCCTGTGCTTTGTAGAATATTTAGCATCATCCTGGCCTCTACCCACTAGATGCCAGTAGCACACCACCCTCTCCCATAACCATGACAATAAAAAATGTCTCCAGACATTGCCAGTCATAAAATCTGGCAAAATCCCCCCACCCCCCAGTTGAGAACCAAAGCTATAGTGAATAGTATACCTGTAGAGTATACCTATAGGTTTAAGTTTCTAAAAGCAGTTTCATCTTTTTTTTTTTTTTTTAATCCTCACCCGAGGATATTTTTTTCCATTTTTTGTACAGATAGAGTGGGAGGGAGAGAGAGGAAGGGAGAGAGAGAGAGAAACATCGACGTGAAGGGACACATCGAGTGGCTGCCACCCGCACGACCAACCAGGGCCGGGGACAAACCGCAACCGAAGTACGTGCCCTTAGCGGGAACTGAACCCGGGTCTCTCCGGACCGCAGGCCAACGCTCTAACCACTGAGCCAAACTGGCCAGGGCAAAGCAGTTTCATCTTTTGGCGCAAAAGTCAAGTCCTGATTTCAGGGCTATGTGGTATAGAACTGTTATTTTCCTTTATTTACTTCCTGTCTGAATACTAAAGGGCCCCCTTTTATAATCATTATATATAGATGGTAGTAAAGGATCTAACCTGACTCACATGTCTAAGAACGGAATCTTAGTGTCAGTGGCCTCAATGTTTTCAGGTAGCCTGTGCTGTAAGTGTGGTTGTGCTCATTCATGCATGTGTGTGAATGTTTGCACCAGCCTTTGTACATAGTTTATTAAAGTTATGAAAACTACAGGATCTGGAGAACTAGTGGGGAAAAGCTGGGCGTAAGTCAGCTAGGGACAATTTAGATGCTCATTTTCTTCTCTCTCATGTGACCCCAACAATACTCCTCACTGAAATTGTCCTTGTTTATCTTTCCCAACAGTGATTCTTCTAGATTAAGTGATGATTATGACTGATGGAGGTAGTAGACAGTTTAGAAAGGAATGGTCAGGTAAAGAAATTGTAGTTCAAACCTATAGCTAAACTACTGCTACATATCCAGATAGCAAAAATCAGATAGAATGGTATGACAGTTAGTGTCTCTTTAGAGTTTTGAATTTGCAGAGCCAAAAGGTATCTCTTTTAGGTAGTTTACATACAATTAGGATTTACTGCTACAAATGTTTGGCTTTAGTAATTACTTTGTGATCCAAACAGATAGCCTTTCTGAAGGAGGGGTAACTGAAAGAAAGTAGCAGTTTTCTACTCAAAGTGGCTTTACAACACACAAACAAAAAAACTCAGAGGACTTTTATTGAAGTTCTTTTTTTTTTCTTTATTGCATTTAGAGAAAGGAAGAGAGAGGGAGAGAGAGATAGAAACATTGATGAGAGAAAACATCAATTGGCCGCCTCCTGCATGCCCCCTACTGGGGATCAGGCCCACAACATGGGCATGTGCCCTGACTGGGAATCAAACCGGTGACCTCCTGGTGCATGGGTGGATGCTCAACCACTGAGCCACACTGGTTGGGCTTGAAGTTCATTTTAACTTATATTGTCAGCAACTAGAATTTGAAATAATTATATATAATTAGATTAAGATTTAGAGAAATAAAAGTAATTAGGTACCTTTTTCTCTACTCTCGAACTGTTATAATTTATTCTAACATATTCTTCCCTTGCTTGAGATATAATTATTCTATCACTTTTTAATTGGTTTCTAATGTGTTTACAACCACAGTCCTTGGCTTGTGCATTTATTGACTTCTTCTCCGTCAGACTACTTTAACCATAAAGCTTACCTTTAGTTGGTCTTCCTAGCATCCTTCACCCATTTTGGGAGTGTTGAAGCTTTAAAAAAATTTTCTTTTCCTTTATTGATTTCCGAGAGAGGGAGGGGGAGATAGAAACATCGACGAGAAAGAACATCGATTGGCTGCCTCCTGCGTGCCCCTCACTGGGGATTGGACCCACAACATGGGCATGTGTCCTGACCGGGAATCAAACCTGCAACCTTTTGGTGCTTGAGTCAACACTCAACTACTGAGCCACATTGGCTGAACATGAAGTTTTTTTTATATACCAAGAATATGAAACATTTTTCTTTTCTCTTTTTAATATGTTTTTATTTTATTTTATTTTTTTAGAGAGGAAGGGAGAGAGAGGGAGAGAAACATCGATGTGAAAGAAACATTGGTAAAGCATATAGGAATAGCAGATATAAGCAGTGGTCACTATGTCTAGGGCTGAGATAGAGCACCCAGGGTAGGAACAAATGTAGAAGAGGGCCACATCAAGTCTGAGATTCAGACCTCCTGGCTCACTGAGTGGTAGAGAAGTTCTCTGAAGCTGCCGAGAGTGTGCCAAGGGATGCTCTCCATAGGAGGTGCCATGCCAACGGCCTTCACCAGAAAATTATTCTCTGGGGTGCTAGAGGAGGCATGCCTCAAAACTCTAGGGGAGCTGGGAGAAGTGGTTCATGGGAGGTGGCTCTTGATATGAAGCTTTTCCAGGAGGTGCCAAGGGAAGCCATTTATGAGAAGTTCCATTAGTGGCACTCTGCTGCAAAGCCACCTGAAGACATGCTTACCCAGGGGAAAGTCACATGCAGTTCAGGAGTCTGCCTAGAGGAGCACACAAGAACCAGCAAGAGAAACCCCTTCCTCCTCCAGTGTCTCTCCAGTGTCCTCTACTGACAAAGCTTAACATTGTACCAGCTGGCAAAAGATGAATGTTTACAAGTCCAGCTCCACTATCACAGAACAGACAAACAGAAGGATAGGTTCGGAGCTGAAAGGCAATAAATTGATAACAGATAAAATATATAAAGAGGAAAGTTCATGAACTGTATTTTCTGACAAGTTTTTAAATTATATCCAATTCAAGGTAATCAGTTACTCCCCCCCCCCCTTTAAAATAAATTTTTCCTCTTTTATAACAAGACTAACTGTGGTTCTTCATTTTGAAGTATTTTCTTTTGAGTCAGCAGTTACAGGGAATTCATTGGAGTTGGATTCTAGTTGTGATGTGTTGGGTATAACCTTCTCTGCTAGAAGGAAAGCAGGATGGAAACCAGCATCCAACTGGCTAGTAAATTCTGAAGTTGATTCTATTCCTATGCCTCTGTTGATTTTGCTATAATACCAGGGTTTTAACCAGTTCTTCCTTGATCATCCCTGTATTAGTGTGTGGACATGCAAAAATTCTTACCACGTGTCATTATTTTTTTTTGTTATTTAAAATTTTTTATTTATTTATTAATCCTCACCTGAGGATATTTTTCCATTGATTTTCAGATAGAGTGGAAGGGAGGGAGGGAGGGAGAGAGAGACAGAAACATCGATGTGAGAGAGACACATCAATTGATTGCCTACTGCATGACCTGGACTTGAGCTGGAGATCGAACCTGCAACCCAGGTACATGCCCTTGACCGGTAATTGAACCTGAGACCCTTTGGTCCGCAGGCTGACACTCTAACCACAGAGCCAAACCAACCTGGGCTGTTGTTGTTTATTTTCATATTTTTAGACTTTTTCAATCAGTAGTAATAACCTTGTCCTATCAAAGTATCAGAAGCATTCGAAATCAGTTTCTGTCAATGAATTGATAAAAAGTTTCATAATTATGTTAACTTCTGTTTGGAAAGCAAGCTTCTCAGACTTCTTTCTAAACTTTTTATTTGGGGTACATTTAATCTATCCAGATGAATAGCTTCCCCCTCTCTCTTTACTCCTTAATTATCTTAGACCCTTGTCTGCTTTTATCCAAATACTTGACTCGTTTTCCAACCACATTAGCTTAATCATCTGCTTGAACTAAGATGCAGCAGAAGCCCAGTACCCACAATGCCTTCATGATACTTGACCAGTGTCAGGTGTCAGGTCCCTTATGATGTCAGGGCTGCCTTTCCCCCTCCACTCCTGGGGTAAGATCCTTGCGTCCAGACCTGTGTGGTCTTCCGTACTCTTGGAAGTATTCATGATTAGCTAGGAAGTAATTGCTTGGGTTAAAAAGAAGAAGAAGAAGAAGAAACATGATAAAGTATTATTTGACTTTATTTTCTTTTTTTTATTTTATTTTTTTATCCTCACCCGAGGATATTTTTCCATTTTTTGTACAGATAGAGTGGGAGGGAGAGAGAGAGAGAAACATCGATGTGAAGGGACACATCGAGTGGCTGCCACCCGCACGACCAACCAGGGCCGGGGACAAACTGCAACCGAAGTACGTGCCCTTAGCGGGAACCGAACCCGGGTCTCTCTGGACCGCAGTCCGACGCTCTAACCGCTGAGCCAAACTGGCCAGGGCGACTTTATTTTCTAAAGAGGAGAGACTGATTTTTTTTTTCTCTCAAAGAAAATACAACTGTCTCTTTGAGACTGAAGAATTGCTGCATAGTTTTTATGAAGATGATGGTTTCCTTAGCAGTCATGGAATATCAATCACCTCTCCTCTCTGAAGTGCAGTGTTTTCTTTAATAGCCTGGCCCTAAAGTAACAACATTAGTTAGTTCTATAGTCAAGGATGTCTATCTAAGATTTTCTCTTATTTTTTCTTATCACTTCCAAACAAGCTAAAGTTTGCTTTTGGCTTTTAGCCAAATAATCATTTATTTGGGAAATGGTTTCTAAAAACCCGTACATATAAAACACTCTGAGGGTTATAAGGAAAGGACAATGCTTGCGTGTAATCCAAGACAATATAAGTGTATTCAAATAAATGGTGCAAACCAAATGGTTCACAAAAATCTACTCTTGCCTAGAATTTCCTCCCCTCCACCAGCACTGTTCGGAATGAAATAGACAGTAGCTGTATATTGGGGTCTGAATTTTGATGGTGCAAATTTAGACAGATAATTATGATATATATAAATATTTTTTATGTTTTTTAAATCCTCACCGAAGGACACTTTACCATTTTTTGTTTAGATAGAGTGGGAGGGAGAGAGAGGAAGAGACAGAGAGAGAGAAACATCGAAGTGAAAGTGGCCTCCTCCCGCACGACCCAACCAGGGCTGGGGACAAACCGCAACCAAGGTACATGCCCTTAGTGGGAACTGAACCCAGGTCTCTTGGGACCGCAGGCTGTTGCTCTAACCACTGAGCAAACCGGACAGGGCTATGAATATTTTTTAAATAAAATAAATTTGTTATTTACTAGTCAGAATGTTTTTGCTGTCTTAAGATTTTCTATGCTTAGAGAGCATATGAAAATTGACAGATTTTAATTCTGTTCTGTTGTGTATATAGCTTTGAAGACATTGATTTGCTAGGAATATTATTTGACTATACACTTGTATACAAGTTTATATTAAGTGTTAAGTATTTTAGGGCCAAAGAGAAGAATTAGACACGATCTCATTTCCTCACAAGGAGATTTTATCATCTAATGGTACATACAAAAAAATATATAGAAAGAGGAAATGTAGAGAACAATTAAGCTACTCATAGCCAAGTACGGACTGATGTCATATAAGCTCTATTGAGGGGCTTGAATGCAGTGGATTGATCATTGTGTAGGTTTTATTAGGAAAAGAAGATCTTTTCACTGGGCATCAAAGGAAATGAGGGATTAGACTCATCTGAGCAGTCTTGTTTTCATGACTTGAATAGGTTCTGTTAGCCTTTCTTGAACATGACTGCATGGTTCACATTCCCCTCATCAAAGTATTAGGGTAGATGAGGTCTCTGCAGGTTCAGGCACATTATTATTAGAAATCCTCTTCAAACTCCTTTATCAGAAATATGCGTTGAAAAGTCTGCCATAGTTTTCTGTAATTATGCCTAAAAATCATGTTGAATAACTCTGTGAAAATTTGTGGGTTATCAAGCATCTCTAGGGAATTGCCAAGCCATAGAGAAGTTATTTTCTTCCCTGTATCACCAGACAGGAAGGAGATCTTTCCATGAAGCTTTTTTTAAGGCTATACAAGACTTCTCACATTCAGAGGTAATAGCAGTAGTGATCAGATATTAGAAGCAAAGTTCCAAATCCACATACATTTAATGAGTATCCTCTATGATCCAAGTTCTGTGTTAGGTACTGATTCTATTATGAAAAAGAGCAAGACAGAGTTCTTGCCTCTGAGTTTATTATTTAACAGGGTTTGAGATTAGAGAATGAGAGAGAGTAAATAATTTTTGTGTTTCTCCGTGGTAGAGGGCGTGTCCCTTAGTGCCATAGGATACTTCCTTTTCTTGTTCACTGTTTTGCACCAAGTCTGAGTTTGTTATTCCACCTGGATTTGTAGCCACTTTGACCTTCTTAACTTATTGTCACTAATTCAGCCTGCTTGTGACTTGAACAGAGCCAAACTATACATTATGTGTAGAGCTTCACCTGGACTTTGCTTCTTATCCTACATTGAATGTAGCACCTAGCTGCCACCCTGAGTGCTTAGCTGGCATTAGCTTGGAAAGGTTTCCATTATTATCCCTTACCACCTCTCTTTCCATTTTCTACTCCCCTTTTCTCTAATTTCCACTTAGATGCTGACATCAGAAGGAGCACAGCCTCCAACAACAAATCTTTGATTCCCTCCCAGACGTTGTAAGTACTTTTAAAAAAAATTAAAACTTTTGTTCATTAATTTTGTTCTTTAGAGTTCACATATACGTGAGTGGAGTGATATGGTATTTGTTTTTCTTTGTCTGACTTATTTTACTTAGCATAATACTCCATAGGTCCATCCATGCAAATGGTAAGATTTCATTCTTTTTATGGCCAAGTAATATTCCATTGTATATATGTACCACAACTTTTTTATCCACTCATCTATTGATGGACACTTGGGTTGCTTCCATCTCTTGGCTATTATAAATAACATTGCAGTGAACATAGGGATGCATATATCCTTTCAAATTAGTGTTTTGAGTTTCTTCAGATGTGTACCCAGAAGTGGAATTGCTAGGTCTGAGAAGTACAAATTGGTAGTTACAAAACAGTCATGGGATGTAAAGTACAGCACGAGGAATGTAGTCACTACTGTTGCAATAACTGTATGGTGTTAGGTGGGAAATTGAAATATTGGGGGGGGGGGTCACTTTGTAAAGTATATGGTTATCTAACTACTATGCTGAACTCCTGGAACTAATACAAAGTAATGCTGACTGTAAACTGTAATTGAAAAAATAAAATTAAAAAATTAAAAACCATGGGGTATATGAAGAAACAAACCCAGTTCTTGGCATATGGATAGGAAAGACCATGGTCAAAGCCATCCAAATTCACAAAGAGGCAAGGTTAAAGTGATGGGCCTGCCTGATTGATGGTGACAAGCCCAAGGGAAGAGAGCAGAAGATCAATGGTTAAAAAAGGGTAGGCTCTGGTGGGGGCAAAGTTTGCTGTTGGGATTGTTCCTTCCCTCCTAACAAATTGTATTTGAGGTCCCCAGAAGATTAGTTCTCGAAAGGAGTGATCATGATTTCTGACTATGAAGTCAAATTGGACATGTACCACATCGTAGTAGCTCACTTCGGAGTAACAACAGCCCTTCATAGTCCACAAAGCAGTTCACTCACTTTATTTTGTAAACAGGCATTATGATCTCCATTTTGCAGTAAGGAAACTGAAGTTTAGAGAAAGGAAATGATACAGAATTCTTAACTAGCAATGCAATGCAATGCTAGTGAGTGGGATATGAGCCTAAATCTTAGGAATATAAGACCACTATATTTTCCACTATACATGCGTCTAAAGATGATGAGAAAAGAAGCTTAGCAGACCAAGGATGCAGCAAGTGTTCTCCCAGCCAGAAGTTACTGCATATGGTATCAGGTCCTGAAGGGAAGCTCCCATCTTCTTGCCTTTTCTTTGTGTTCAGCCTTCCTTAAATCTCTCCTTTCCAGCTCCCATTGCTTCCTCCACTCCACGTCCGCTGAGGCGGTGGCCATGGGGCTCCTGAAGCAGTTTGAGGGGATGCAGCTCCCAGCTGCCTCGGAGCTAGAGTGGCTGGTTCCAGAGCATGATGCCCCTCAGAAGGTAGATTCTTCGGCTCTTTTTCTCCACCCTCTGTCCAGCCCCAGGAGGTTGTGAGCCTTTCTGATAATTGTTCTCTTTTGTTACAAGTTCCCAATCTAGAATGAGCCTATGTGTTTCCTTCCTTACTCACAGAAGCCATTCTTACAAATTTGTTGAATGAACGAACGAACGAACACACCTTTGCCCAGGTTTTCCCTAGCAATTGTCAGAAGATAATGGCTTCTTCACTGTCCTTTTTCCACATGACTGCTCACTAGACTCAGAGGTGGAACTCCTGTGTGTGACCACCTTTGAGACACTGTGAAAAAGCAAATTATTCAGATTCTTTGCAGTTGAATAAGGCACGAAGCACCCCAGAATATCTAGATACTGGGACAGCCTCAGCAATGGGTGCTACCACACTGGGATGCTGTTTCTGTTCCTTTTGCTGCTTGAAACCAAGACCATCACTTCTAGTAGCCTGGTACCTTATGATTTCAAGGGCCAAGGTTCCCTGAAGCTCTTACCTGTGATGTTCCTGAAATGTCTTTCATTGACTATGCTTCTTTCGTGGCCAGGAGTCAAAGTCCCCCCAGACGGTTCATGTCAGATCGCCCTGTGCTTTTCTCCTGCAGCTCCTGCCCTTCCCTGACTCGTTGCCCATCTCACCAGATGATGGGCAGCACGCTGACATCTACAAGCTGCGTATTCGTGTTCGTGGCAACCTGGAGTGGGCCCCGCCCCGGCCTCAGATAATCTTTAATGTTCATCCAACCCCAACGTGAGTAGCCAGTGGCTATGCCCTCTGAAAAAGACACATTCTCTTTGGATTGTCAGGGCTGTCTCCTCATCCTCTTGTCTTTGCATCCAACTCTACATCCCACACAGTTCTAAGAGGCAGAGGGAGAGGATTTCTATCTTGTCTGTAAGTCTTACTCTTTTTTTTTTTTTCATCCTCATCCGAGGATATTTTTCCATTTTTTGTACAGATAGAGTGGAGAGTGGGGGGGAGAGAGAGGAAGAGAGAGAGAGTGAGAGAAACATCGACGTGAAGGGACACATCGAGTGGCTGCCACCCGCACGACCAAGGGCCGGGGACAAACTGCAACCGAAGTATGTGCCCCCAGCGGGAACTGAACCCGGGTCTCTCCGGACCGCAGGCCGACGCTCTAACCGCTGAGCCAAACCGGCCAGGGCAAGTCTTACTCTTAATCCTCCCATTCCTTCCCAGAACTAGCAGAAAATGAGGTCTTCCATCATTGGCCTTCCCAACCTGTTGCCTTCCTCCCAGTAATTCTGGAGCTTACTGGTTTTTTTCTCTTTCAGGATGGATGATTGCTTTGCTTTTCTGTTCTCTCTTTTTACTATTTCTCATCTCTTACATTTGTACAGAAAGTGTGGTTCATTATTGGGGAGAGTCGCTGCTTAGACCTACATTCTAACCTTCTAATCCTTGGTTTGAAAACAATAGGTGAATGCCCCTCTCTACCCTTCCTTAACAAGAGCCCTGTGTTTGTATCCTCATCCTTTACATACCTCATGCTGCTGGTATCTGCCAAGCCCCTGTCCTTCCCCTTTCCTCAGGAGGAAAATTGCTGTGGCCAAGCAGAATTACCGCTGTGCAGGGTGTGGCATCCGGACTGACCCTGGTGAGTATCTTTTCTGACCCCTGTACTGATTCTAAGAGCATTATCCTTTCACACGCTTGGGCAGGGGGGCTGGTCAGGGAAGTCGTAAGAGGAGGAGACAGACAGAATTGGGAGAAAGGAAGGAAGAGGCCTGGAGGGAAGGGATAAGACTAGGCAAGCACACTGGCGATGAGAGGGAAATTATTTCTGGGAGCACATTACCAGGATTGTAGACTGGAGAAAATTGGGTACTTCTGACCAGGTTCTTGGAGGCTGGATCTTACCAACTCTGGCAGGGTTTGTTTCCTGAGTTGCCTCCAGGTTGGTACACAGAAACCACAGGCCCCACTATGTTGGTTTCTGCCAGCTTTGGGAGATCACATAGAGGTGGCTAGAGCCCACTGGCCATCCCTTCCTGCTCTTTCAAAAGGAACAGCAGAGCTGCCTCACCAGCTTATGGATGGGAAAGCCACATCTGACCTTTCAACTTCCTGGTTTTTCCAGATTATATCAAGAGGCTGAGGTACTGTGAGTACTTGGGCAAGTACTTCTGTCAGTGCTGCCATGAGAATGCCCAGATGGTTATCCCCAGCCGGATTCTGCGCAAGTGGGACTTCAGCAAGTATCATGTCAGCAATTTCTCCAAGGACCTGCTTGTTAAGATCTGGAATGACCCTCTCTTCAATGTGCAGGACATCAACAGCGCCCTCTATAGGAAGGTCAAGCTGCTCAATCAAGTTCGGGTAAGACCCTTGAAAAGTCACATCATAGATTACCTTTTGCATCCTCTCCCTGTGTTTGTACAGTCTTCCCCAAGCTCACCACGCTTTTCTTTGTCACCGTATCAGAGATGTAACCATCTCACCACTCATCTTTTCTCTTGCCATTTCCCAGGTATCTGTCTAGTTAGGGTTCAAAACCCGTCATGGCAGCTCTGCAGCCATAGATAACACTCCATGGCAAAAGCAGGGCTTCTCCCTTCTCGGAAAGTATTAGAATGGAGAATAGGGCATCAAGTAGGAAATCTGAATTTTGGATTTCTTAGTGGCTCCTAGCTATATGTGCTTTGGCAAACTGACCTCGCACAGGGGTTGCCTGGAGGTCACTTTGAAGTGAGTTGTTGAGTTATAGGTATCGAGAACAGTCTGGCCTCCAGGGTTTAAAGGTACTGATCTAATGGTTGTCTCTCTCCTTTTCATACCCCTTTTTGCCCCCTACCCACCACCACAATGTCTGTCTCCTCAGCTGCTGCGGATCCAGCTGTATCACATGAAGAACATGTTCAAGACATGCCGACTGGCCAAAGAGTAAGTCGTGTGTGGAGGCCAGAGGCCCTTGGCTACATTAATGTCTCTGAAAGAAACATGTTCCAGCAGTTGGCCGTTGTTATGTGAAGAAGGAGAGTAGGGGGGGATGTTGCAGAAAATTCCAGAAATGGTAAATGAGAAGCAGTAACTGTCTGTATCCTTCTCTCCGGAAGGGGAAATCTGGGGTGATTCTCTCTAGGGCAGGCCCACCACTCTGCAAGCTGGCATGAATCACTGCCAAAGGGTATACAAGTCACCTCTGCCATTTAGACACCTGGTAGTGTGGGAGAATTGAGGTGGCCTGGAATACCTGGGCCGGCTGAGTGTTGCCCACTTTATTACCTCTGCCTGGAACCTTCTCTTCCCTTATCCTGCCTCTGGATAGAGATCCTCCTACTCTGGTGTGCCACACAAGGCGTTCCTCCTCTGCTCCCACCACTTCCCTCATCTCCTGCAGCCTCCTGGATTCCTTTGACACAGTTCCAGGCCACCTGACAGAGGATCTCCACCTGTACTCGCTGAATGACCTGACTGCAACCAGGAAGGGGGAGTTGGGGCCCCGGCTTGCTGAGCTCACCAGGGCAGGGGCTGCCCATGTGGAGCGATGCATGGTAAGAAAGTCTCGCTTTAGTATGCTACTGGACCCTTGCTTAGGGGTACAAGTTGTGGGGTGGACCCAGGGTTCTTGCCATTTAGTTCCAGGAAGTTGACATGGTCTGCCAACACAGTGAGAGAGACTCGACAGGATGGTTAGTCCCTAGGTTGGTGAACAGCTAAATCATCCAGATCGAAAGAATCTAGAATTAGAAGAGGATTTGGTGTTGGCATTACGCCTGGGTAACTGGGCAGTTCTAAGTGGCCTTCATGAAGAATTGTCATGATGTGGGAGAACCTGGATTAGCATTTGGAGAGGGCCTGGTCTTGACTTTATCATGTTCAGTCACTGTGACCAAAGGAAATGCTTTGCTCTCTCTGAGGGAAGCCTTAATTTTGTCTCTAAAAATGAAGTTAATAATTAATATTCACTGTTCTTTCCTCTCAGCAATTTTGAGGATTGATGAAATAATTTATGTGAAAGCATTTTGTAAGCTTTAATTGTTCTATAGATTCAAATTATTGTTCTTGATATACTAAACATGCCAGAAATTCAGAAATTTATTTTTAGAATTTCCCATTTTAGAATATGCCCGGTTTATGTTCCTGTAATAGTCCCAGAATTAGAGCTTAAAATAGGGCATTTGTAGAGAGATCCTGTGTAGCAGGGCACCTGGAAAGACGTAGCTATACTATGACTCAAGGCTGGGTGTTATTTTGGAGAAATAGGGCCTTCACATTTTATCTCAATTGGCTGTGGTTCCTGTTTCAAAATAAAATCATGACCCAGACTGGGATTTCGGCTACAGGAAGCCTTTGGGGCACTGATCTTTTCATCTCTGCATCTCGTCATTGGGAGCCACTCTTTTTTTTATTTTTTTTATTTTTTTTATTCTCACCCAAGGACATTTCTACATTTATCTTCAGATAGAGTGGGAGGGGGAGATGGAGGAAGAGAGTGAGAGAGAAACATCGATGTGAGAGAGACATATTGAGTGGTCGCCACCCACGTGACCCCAACCGGGGCCAGGGACTAACTGCAATCGAGGTACAATGTGCCCTTAGCGGGAACCAAACCCAGGACTCTGTTTGTGGGCCAACGCTCTAACTGTTGAGCCAAATTGGCCAGGGCAAGAGCCACTCTTATGGTTAGAGTTTCAAACTTTTGCCTCTCTTATCGCCACCTTGAAGCTTTGTCTAACACTGCCCAGCCTGGTCCTAGTTTGCCTGTCACACCTCTAGGTCTAGCCCGAGTCTCTCTTCTGAAGGCGAGAGGACACCTTAGAGCACACTCAAGTCTTATTTATATTTTTTGCCCCTCTGTTCACTTTTGCTCAACCTCTGGTACCAGTTCCTGGTGTGCTGTGCCTCATTTTGCTGCCTGTCCCTTTCTTCCTCAGCTCTGCCAAGCCAAGGGCTTCATCTGTGAGTTCTGTCAGAATGAGGATGACATCATCTTCCCTTTTGAGCTCCATAAGTGCCGGACCTGTGAAGGTGAGGCTGGTGCCAGGTTGGAGTGGGCAAATAAGATTGAACACAAAGCTAATTTACTTCCCTTCAGCCACCCCTGTTAGTAGAGTTTGGCTCGGTTCAGCCACGCCCTATTTCACCGCAGGCGGCCTGGGCCACGAGGTGAAAAGGGGCTGTAGCAGCAACTTACTTCCAGCCTGAGATAATACAAATTGTGCTCTTCTCTCTCACCTTCCCATCCTGAATAGAATGTAAAGCGTGCTACCATAAAGCTTGTTTCAAGTCTGGAAGCTGTCCCCGGTGTGAGCGACTGCAGGCCCGGCGGGAGTTGCTGGCCAAGCAGAGCCTGGAGTCCTGCATGTCAGACTACGAGGAGGAGCCCGCGGAAGCTTTGGCCTTCAAGGCTGCCGTTCTGGAGACCACCTGAAGAAAGCACGTTAGGCCCTTTTTCTAGGGACTAGGGTCACACATAATGCAGAACTGAGCCACCCTTTTAAGAACTTTCCCACTTGTTTTTTTATTGTTATCATTATTGTTTTTTTATGAATTGTCTAATGTCCATGTATAGCCAACCTGTGTTGGGTTGGTGGGGTCCAGTCTGTTGTGACAGTTTGTGGGTAGCAGGTATTTCCATTGGAACTGACACATGGTCCTTAAGTGAGGCTTCTAGTGCCTCTGTCAGGGGAATGGACAGTGAGACACAGTTCTTCTGACATCCACGGCCTTCTTCACTTGGACCGAATCCAGTTTCGGCTGCATCTCAAGTGTCATTTCCAGTTTTATTTTGTTCTAGTTCTGGAGCTTTTAAACCAGGTCTTTCTCAACCAACTCACTTCTCCTTTGCTGCTGAAACAGGAGATGGAGCTTTCTCTCTCCCAATCCTGAAACGGGCAGACTGTGCCCTGAGGAGAAGCAGCAGAGAATGGGACTGCATTGTGGGCATTCTGTCCAGCTTACTTAGGTGTTTTTAGGCCATAGAGACAGCATTATTACTATCCTGGAATCCGCAGAAACCTCAGAGAGGCAGCCATGACTTCCTTGTGTGAAGTATTCTGGGCATAGGTGATGTGACAACTGACTTTCTTTATCTACCCTGGTGGGCTTGAAGCAATGAAAAGAACTAATATTTAGGCCAGGCCCATTTATAGCCTCACACCAAGCGTAAATGAGGCTGCAACTCCATTGCTTAAGGATAATTTATTCAGTCAGAGGAGTTGTTGGTCTCCTCTTAGGTGATAAGGTCCCTAGCTCTGGTGCAGGTCCACTCCTTCCAGCTCAGGCAAGTCCCTGACGCCATCCTAAACTGAGGACAGAAACCCCACCCACCATTTTATTTGTGGGCCGCTTGCCACTGTGTCCTCTGTAGGATGGTCATTGTGATTCTGAGTAAAAGTATGGCCCAACTCCATTCTCTCTTTCCCCTTCCTGTAAGAGAGCCAGACCCTCCCTGATGTCTGATCTCTTGCCTTAGTTTTTTGTCAAAGTTAGGGAAAAGCTTCCTGCTGTTAGTGATAGAGAACTTGACAGTTTGTGGATGTTACTGTGTGTGTTCCTGTATTTGTGGGATAACAAGAGCCTTTATGCCAATTATGCACTTAACTCTTTATCCTGGTGATGGTCATGTTCATTCATCCTTTTCATATTACTAATTTTAGCGTGCACACACACACACACCCCTTTTTTTAATGTATGTTTTGATGGGACCCATGTGGTGTTCTTAAGTTGCGATAGCTCCTGACCTGTATGTAAAACACTGGTTAGGGTTGCTGCTCCGAGGGCTGGCAGCTCTGTGAACTAAAACCCACAGCACTTTTGTTCTGGGACTGACTTCTTCCTGTGTACCTGTCTTTCCATAGTTGCTTGCTGGTAGAAAAAAACTTGGCATGTACGCTGAACAGAAAGTTGCACATGGTTGGTGGAAGCTGATAAGTGCCTGAGCTGGAGGCAGTCCGGAGTCTCATAGGAAGTAGAAGGGGCAGTAAGGTAATGGTCAGATCTGAGGCTTTGCCAGGGCAAGAGGAAGCAAGGAGGAATTGACCAGTGTGTTGGTCCCTCTGCCTTAAACTTGGGATCTGAAGGCTGCATCAGGCTGGAAGACTCTGAGGCTATTCTCCCTTCGATTCATGGGGGAGGCTCTGAAAGCTAAGGCCTCCAGCCCAGCCCTGTTTTGAAGGACTGACTAGCAGCTCCCTTATCCTCCAAGGAGTTTTGGGAATGTTCCTATAAAACTCAAGTCTCACTAAGCCTGAGGTTCCCAATCAGGGGTTTGTAAAAATGGTGAGCTCTACTTCCAGTTTTGGTTGAAACGACAAATTCAGCTCCTTACTCCAAGTCAATACACTGGAGGAGAAACACCTCACATCTTTGTCCTGCCTGTTTCATATGAACATAGGATCAAAGGATGGAAAATGCTGACACAGTCTCCGAAGCTGAGCTCAACAATCTTCCATGCTCCTGGTTTTTCCCTTCACCTCACCCACCCCATCCCTTTAGGTTGCATATTTGTTTTAGTGACCCTGACACTGTCCAAATACCCACTTATTTATTTATTTGAGAGTAAGGGAGAGAGGAATGAGGGTGGGATACTTTGAAAGCACTTTGCAACTTATCAGTATCTGAAAATCCCTGCTGTTGTGGGGAGAAGGTTTGAAGGCACTGAAGAGAGTTCCTTCTAAATGAAATGGGAGGGAAGAAGTTTCTTTTCTATAAATAAAGGGGAAAAATTGCTTACAAGGTGGAGACAAGATTCAAGACATAGCAGAAGAGTGGAAGGCAAATATTTTCCACTTAAATGAGGCTGTAATTGACTTTCTCTGCTAAGGCTTTAGAGCTTTTTGTTTAACATTAAAGGCGCAAGAGTCTAAATCCAGATGTTCTGTGTGTGTACAATTCATGTTCTGAACTGGATTCCTACTTGATGTAATTCATACACGCCTAATAGCTCATTGTCCTCTTTAATAAACTAAGGAAATGAAATTCTGCCTTTTATTTGCCTACCTTGACTATCAGGAAGTGGTATGGAGCGTCCACTGTAGAGAAGGCATGTCTGAATATTCAGGTGGTTTCTGTGTTATAGGGCCAGGAAAACTGGACCATACAAGTCAGGAAAAGTGGGTTGGAATGCTTCATCACTGACTGGCCATGTGACATCACCTCTCTGGATTTCTGTTTCTTCGGGTGTGAAAGTCGCTGTGGCACATTGTCCTTTCCAGTGCACAGTGTGCACCCCCCCCCCTCCACTCCCCCTGCTGTAACTGTCACTTAAGGTGAGGCATGTCTTCCTCTGCACAACCTCTGAATGGTCTTATATGCTTTACTTCCCACGTCTGTGAACAACTGGCTCTGCGTTTCTACCTGGTGGCCCACTGGAGCTCCAGCTCCACCCTGCAGCTTTCTGAACATGTCTCCTTCCCTGTCCCTTATTCAACTCCACCTGATATATCTAAAACCAACATAAATATCCTATTTCCCCAAATAACCATTAGTCACCCCAGTTTGAAAACTTCGTTGTCTTCAACTGCTTCCTCTCTGAGTCAGGTGGTATATCGGCTAGTAAAGTATTATCTCCGTCATACTACCCATCATTAAGTTCTATTGACTTTTTTCTTTAAATTAAGTTTATCTTGTTTCTTTTCTACCGCTAGCACACAAATCAAGTTCTTATTTTACATCTCAGCCATCTCAAGCCATGCCAATCTTTTCCTATTTCATTGTCCATCAAATGTTTGGGAACCTATTGTATTCTGGTTTCTGTGCTAGGCTCTGAGGAAAGAGTGGAGACAGTTCTTACCCTTAAGACACTAAGAGTCTTGTGGGGGAGACAGGTATTGCCAAAATCTCCAAAATGAATATGTAATTACAAGCTGTAATAAGAGCCATGAAGGAAAAGAGTAGATACTATTAAAAAAATAAATACCAAAGGGAACCAATTTAGATTGGAGACAAGTAAGTTCCCTGAGAAAGTGATACTTTAACTGGGACCCAAAGAATGAAGCTCAGAGTAGGGAGAAAAGGGCTAGGGACCTGGACTAGCACATAGGATGATTCTAAGATAGGAGAAGCTCGGGTAAGGAGCTGCAAGGACTTACTAAAGGTTTTAGATTTTATCCTAAACATTTGGAAAGCCATGGAAGAGTTTCACTCAGAGGAGCGGCTGATCTGGTTAAAATGTCAGTGTCCACTTTGCAGAGAATGAGGAGAGTAAAGCAAGAGTAGAAGCAGAGGGATATTCCAGGGAGGTGGCTGCTGCTGTTCAGGGGAGAAATTTTTGGACTAGGATGTAGCATATCATGGCCATTCACTGACACCTCATTACCCAGTGAAATCTCCAAAAAGATAAATTCCAAATGCTCTCTGACATTTTTGGCAGGGCAGTTAATCCTTACCAGAGGATATTTTTCCATTGATTTTTTCCTTTTAGATAGAGTGAAGGAGTGTGGGGGAGAGAAACATGGATGTGAGAGACACATCGACTGATTACCTTTCATACGACCTCGACTGGGGCCAGGGATTAAACCTGCAACCCAGGTATGTGCCCTTGACCAGGAATTTGGTCCACAGACCAATGCTCTAACCACTGAGCGGCCGACCAGGGCTCCTCTGACATTTTAAAGCAAGGAACGTAAGGCTGGAGGGAAGATACTGGAAATATACTGGCATAAATTACAGAATCGAAGGAAAATGAATAATCATCTCAATCCACACAAAGGTATGCAGACCAGGGTAGTTCTGGGAACTCAGCTGCAGGATTTGCAGAGCTTTTCTTGAGCCTGCTGCCAGCGAAGCAGACCAGAAAGCAGAGTTATGGTGACTCCATGTTGGGGACTAGGGGCACACCCCGAAGAAAGGAACTGAGCTGGGCAATTGTTGCTTGTGGCATTTAAGTTATTGATCATTCTCTATGGCCCCAAATGTGTGTAGATTTACTGTGCCCTCTACTAGTATAAACAGTGGGCATAATCTTTTTTTTCTTTATTGATTTTTGAGAGAGAGGAAAGGAGAAGAAGAGAAAGAGAAACATTGATGAGAGAGAACATCGATTGGCTGCCTCCTGCATGCCTCTGCACTGGGGATTGGTTCCACAACCTGAGCATGTGCCCTGACCAGGAATCAAACCGGCGACCTCTTGGTATGGGTCAACCACGGAGCCACATAGGCCGGGCTGGGCATAATCTTTTTATTTTATTTTTTAAATCCTCACCCAAGGATATTTTTCCATTTATCTTCAGATACAGGGGTGGGGGGGGGGCATCAATGTGAGAGATACACATTGACTGGTTGCCACCCACATGACCCATACCAGGGCCAGGGACCGAACCTCAACTGAGGTACGTGCCCTTGACCAGAATCGAACCCGCAACTCTTTGTTCCATGGGCAGACTTTTTAACTACTGAGCCAAACCGGCCAGGGCTGGGCATGGTCTTTATGGCGTCCTGGTTTAAGTGAGGCCCAACCCTGCTTCATTTTTCCTTTGAACTTTTGTCTTAGACTCTTAGAGTATGGGAGAAAGGATCGCTGTGCCCACCATATCCTGCTGACTGATCGAGTACAGTCCTCTCCCATATCCAATCTAGCGTATCGAACTGCTCGCTTCTAAAATTTTAGTGAAAATAAATAAAATACAATTTTAGTGATAGCAGCTGCCAGATGGCCCAAGCTTTCCAGTTGTGAGTTTGATGTTGTTGGGGGCCAAAGATGAATGTGATGAGAAAGCAAAGATGATGTGCCTACCACTGCTCTCCTAGGAGCATGGAGAACATGAGGGTCTGCTTTGCATGTGCCCTCGCCCCCTCAGTTTTGTTAACTGCTTCTGGAGAAGGAAGAGCAGCAGAGAGCTGTGCTCTGGCTTTGAAGATACATTCACCAGTGAGATGAGTTCTACTAAACCTTGAGCGGTGGAAGGTTCTTAGGATGTAGGTGGGAGTTTCAGTAACCGCCCGAGAGGTACCACAGACCGGTTAGACATAGTCTAGAACCACAGCGCAGCACACGTGCCCTGTAACCTTTAGGCAACAAGTCCGAGGTAAGGCCTGTCTTTTTCTCTTAGAGCCCTGGAACTGCTCACCTGCCTTCCTTTGAGACAGTGACCTCTGTATTTCCCGACTGGTCCTGCCTCCCGCAGGCCCTCTGCCAGCCTCCCAGCTCCTCCCACGTGTCCGCAGCAAGCACGCACTGCTGCAGCGCCGGCAGCTCCTCCCACGCGTCCGCAGCAAGCACGCACCGCTGCAGCGCCGGCAGCTCCTCCCACGCGTCCGCAGCAAGCACGCACCGCTGCAGCGCCGGCAGCTCCTCCCACGCGTCCGCAGCAAGCACGCACCGCTGCAGCGCCGGCAGCTCCTCCCACGCGTCCGCAGCAAGCACGCACCGCTGCAGCGCCGGCAGCTCCTCCCACGCGTCCGCAGCAAGCACGCACGGCTGCAGCGCCGGCAGCTCCTCCCACGGCGTCCGCAGCAAGCACGCACCGCTGCAGCGCCGGCAGCTCCTCCCAGGCGTCCGCAGCAAGCACGCACCGCTGCAGCGCCGGCAGCTCCTCCCAGGCGTCCGCAGCAAGCACGCACCGCTGCAGCGCCGGCAGCTCCTCCCAGGCGTCCGCAGCAAGCACGCACCGCTGCAGCGCCGGCAGCTCCTCCCAGGCGTCCGCAGCAAGCACGCACCGCTGCAGCGTCCGCAGCTCCTCCCAGGCGTCCGCAGCAAGCACGCACCGCTGCCGCGCCGGCAGCTGCTCCCAGGCGTCCGCAGCAAGCACGCACCGCTGCAGCGTCCGCAGCTCCTCACACGCGTCCGCAGCAAGCACGCACCGCTGCAGCGCCGGCAGCTCCTCCCACGCGTCCGCAGCAAGCACGCACCGCTGCAGCGTCCGCAGCTCCTCCCACGCGTCCGCAGCAAGCACGCACCGCTGCCGCGCCGGCAGCTCCTCCCAGGCGTCCGCAGCAAGCACGCACTGCTGCAGCGTCCGCAGCTCCTCCCACGCGTCCGCAGCAAGCACGCACTGCTGCAGCGTCCGCAGCTCCTCCCACGCGTCCGCAGCAAGCACGCACTGCTGTAGCACCAGCAGCAATGGGCCAACCAGAAGGAAAGGGCACCTTTCCCTCCTCTGTGTCTCACCTCAGCCTTTTTCTACCTCAAACTGAAGAGAGAAATTCAACCTAGATGCCAACAATGGGTCTCTCTACACAAAGGACTAAAATAAGATTTGTATATTTCTCCCTTAACCTCTGGAAGCCTCCTAACCACAGATCAACTGAAAGAACATCCTAACGAAAGGAAGAGCGGGAATGAGGTCTGCAGAGGGAAATGGAATGGAAGAACTTCCTCTCTCTCTCTGTCTCTCTTTCATTTATTTAATAATATTTATGCTTAATTTTCTAATACATTACATGCTTAAAATCCACACAAAGACAGTGGAAAATCTCTCGCATTTCTGTAGCCAGACGCCTGCTTTCCGTGTCACCCCCTCTGGTAGCCACTCATTACTTTTCCGCTTATCCTTAGAGTTTATGCAAATACAAGAAAAATATAAACCCTCATTCTTCTCCCTTCTTTAAAACATTTTTTACTGAGCCTGGCCAGTGTGGCTCGCTGGTTGAGCGTTGACCCATACACCAAGAGGTCACTGGTTCGATTCCCAGTCAGGGCACATGCTCAGGTTGTGGGCCCGATCCCCAGTGGGGGGCATGCAGGAGGCGGCCAATCGATGTTTCTATCTCTCCCTCTCCCTTAGTCTATCTCTAAAACTCAATAAAGAAAACACTTTAAAAAATAAAATAAAACATTTTTAATTGAATTTATTGGGGTGACATTGGTTCACAAAACCATACAAGTTTCAAGTGTACAACTCAACAAAACATCGTTTGAGCACTGCACTGTGTGCCCATTGCTCCAAGCAGAGTCTCTTCCCACCCCCACTTCTCCCCAGTGCCCACCTCCACCTCCCTCTCCCTCTGGCTATCACCACACTGTT